AAAAAAAAAAAAAAAAAGGCTTTTCACACAGCGTGATATTTTTTCTTTTTCTTTTAAACCATTTTATAACTTTAGGTTTAATTATCCACGCATAAAACTTTGATTCATTTCTCCCCATAGGATTGCCTGTTTCTTTACGAATTCCAAGTGGTCACGAAATGGCTCTTCACGTAAACGATCCCCTTGTTATTGTAGAAACATTAAACAAACTAGGCGGCCAGCATGGGATTGGCAGAATAGATATAGTTGAGAATCGTTTTCTTGGATTGAAGGTGAGACCTAATCACTACTTTGGGTAATTCTGGTATAATAAAACAAGACTTCACAAACCATTTACTGTAGATCGACCATAACGGACGAATACTTTTTTTTCTACCTATTCTAGTAACCTTGAGGGGATATTCTAGATTCGCCATACTAGTAGGTGAGCTCACGGGGCTCAAACCTGACGTCGTTGCTAACACTAACTCTAGCAAGAGCAGTGCTTTGCAGAATCTACCACCGGAAAAAAACTATAAAAATCCATCTCAATTGAAGTGAGAAGTAATTCATTCGTTTCAAAGTCGTTCAAGAGCCCCAAATAATGTCAGTTATAAAACATACAAAACATGTCTGTGGCCTGATCGGAAAGCCAACGTGTAAGCCAATAACGGATGCACCGAACACTAACCAACTCGTGCTATCGTGAGCACGAGTCTTATCGACTGATGCGATTAAGTTTCTTTAAATCATCTGACAAGTAAAGTTTTCAAAGTGAGTAGTACTAGTACCTAACATAAACTCACGAACAATTTCGATATTGACGGAATAGCACCGTGAAATGAAAGTCACTTTCAAAGTTGGTACACGTAATACTGATGGTAAGATTTATCGCGAGGGTAGACCACCTATAGGTACTATCATCGTGTTTATTTATACAAACATTGAGTCGTTCATTTTGGTATAAATTTTCAGTCCAGAGGTTTGTATGAAACTCCGGCTGGCACCGTATTACATGTGGCGCACGTTGATTTGGAAGCATTCACCCTCGACAGAGAAGTACTGAGGTACAGTTTCTTATTGTGATGGAAATAACTTACAAGCAATCGTGGAAGTGAAGTTTGTCAGCTTGTTTTTATTGAAAAATTTTAAAAACCCATACTTAATATTATAAACGCGAAAGTGTGTTTGTTTGTCCTTTTTTAACGTTGTAATGAAGGAACCGATTGACATGATTTTCAAAGCGATAGTATCACACCAGGCGAGTGACAAAGGCTGCCTTTTACTCGGAAAAAATATATTACTTACGGATTACGGAAACTATTCTTGAACTTTTCCTGTGACAACGCAGATGAAGCAGCTAGTAGAAATATAATAATAATCTTCTAAATTGCAGAGTGAAAAAATATCTACAAGATAAAATGGCTGATTTTGTATATAACGGATTTTGGTTTTCACCGGAAGCAGCGTTTACAAGGAAATGTCTGGAACTATCCCAGGAGTCTGTTACTGGAACTGTCACCGTTCAGTTATTCAAAGGAAACGGTTAGTACGAATATGTACCCAAATAGGCTAGGTTTGATATAAAATTACACATAAAATAACGTTCCTTTTAAAAATAAAACATTTTGATGAATATTACGAACGGTGAAAGGCTATTTGGTATAAGCGACATTTATCTTTGTAATTAAAGGTGCTTTTTATTTGGTATTAGCATCAACAGTTCGATATTTTTACTTGAACTTCAATTAAGTAGGTTTACTCCATTAAAATAGCTGAAGAGATTTTTTTTCCAAATTTTGCACTTTAAATGGCTCTCTTGTAAAGTTGTAAAATGTCGCTTAAATAGCCTTTCACCTCTTAATTACATTTGATTATAATTCATTTGATATATAGTTGAATTCTGTGTGAATTTAAAAAATCTCAGATGAATCGAGCCGCGGGTGCCCATACGAAGGTCGATATGAAATAATCACGAAATTGAATCATCATAGTATTTAATATGGTTTCTGCGGTTTTTTATAATCGATATTTGTCGAATAAAAATAAAAATAAACCTTAATTTGTTGCAGTTACCGTTCTGGCAAGAAAAAGTCCAAATAGTTTATACAACAAGGACCTGGTGTCCATGGATATCGCTGGAGGCTTTTCTCCTGAAGATAGTACCGGTTTTATCAACATTAACGCAATTCGCTTGAAAGAATTTGCAAGATTATCCAATCTGAAATAAATATAGATAATGGCTTAAAGTTGATTTAAATGTAATAATATTTTTGAATTTAAAATGTAAGAGCAGCAAAATAAAACGTGCTTATCAATCATAAAGGAACTACAATTTTTTATTTTTATTTATATGTCGGCGCAAATATGACTATTTACCTACTGATCATAAACTAATTACTCTGTGATAAGAAATTGATGTTAAACAGTCCCTTTTATTGTAATTTCAATACTTTAAAATCTTGTAAACACGCTCACGTGTTTAATACTTGTAAACACGCTGACGTGTACGAAGTCCTATAAATACGGCCGTGCTGTCTAGCGTTGATTCACACCCCCGATTACTCTCTTTAGACAACCCATACCCTGGGCCAGGAAGGTCAAGTACCTGGGCGTTACCCTGGATGCATCGATGACATTCCGCCCGCATATAAAATCAGTCCGTGACCGTGCCGCGTTTATTCTCGGTAGACTCTACCCCATGATCTGTAAGCGGAGTAAANCGTGCTGTCTAGCGTTGATTCATTCGTGTCCGAGCCGTAGCACAGTACGGATCTCTCTGAATGTTGTCACGTTTCTCGTGAAATATACGCAGTTATTGTGAAGTTCTGGTGAAGTTTTGTTTCGAAAGCCCAAACATGAGTCATCGTCGAGAACTTAATGACCGTGACGTCAGCAATGGTGACGTCACACTTTTTAAAAACATTCCTTCAGCGTTTCTCCTCCGTCATATATGATACGGATTCCATCCACGTTGTTTCCCGAGCGCTACGAAGTATCTGTCTTCAAAGTTCAAACAAGGTTTGAAAATAGTCATCGGCGATAGGCAACGGGTTGTCTGTGCCCCTGGCATTAATTACTGTTATGTATGATCGACGGTGGCCCTATTAGAATCAGATCGTATCACGCCAAAATAGTTTTCTTCTCACAGTTTTTCTCCTACTATAAATAATACAATTTCTCCAAGCTCATTCAGAAGAAGTCAAGCTCTGGTTTTTAAGAAGAGTGTTATTAAAGTATGAGAGATTTCTAAGAACAGCAGGAACCAGTCATCTCTGGTACAGTTCTGCGAGAATATTATCCGGACTACTGATGCTTTGCTAATATTTGTGGCCATTACGCACTTTAATTAATTACAACAAGAGAATTAAAAAAAAATGGTACGTTCTTCTAGATTTGCGAACGATAATACTCTTTCACTGGTGGTAGGACCTCTTGGGAGTCCACACGGGTAGGTACCACCACCCCGCCTATTTCCGCCGTGAAGCAGTAATGCGTTTCGGTTCGAAGGGTGGGGTAGCCGTTGTAACTATACTGAGACCTTAGAACTTATATCTCGAGGTGGGTGGCGCATTTACGTTGTAGATGTCTATGGGCTCCAGTTAGCACTTAACATCAGGTGGGCTGTGAGCTCGTCCATCCATCTAAGCAATAAAAAAAAACAACTCTATCTCACTCTATCTCTCTCTCATCAAACAAATCTTTAAAAAAAAAGCAATGGTTTAATAAGAATTAAATGAAAAAGCAAAGAATTAATATGTATTTACAACTAGCTAGACGTCTATAAAATTTTCTAACCGAAAAAATATATGTGTATAAACCATTAGAATAGATAAAACCTTAAAAAACAACATTATTATTAAAAACGAAAGAAAAAATCTTGATATTGTATTGGTTTCACGGCAAAAATTTTAGTGACTACTTAACTTGCTTGAAAGTGAAGAAATACGCTCAAAATCCATTAATTTGTAACTCGCACTCGCACATACAATAATCGAGAGGCTCACTTCGGTAAGGCTATTCGATACATGAGACAGCAACATAAACAAACCTTCTCTCTCCCACAAAATGAGATTCATAAGCTTACCACTAGGTGGCACGGATACAACCTCACACAAATTAAACATATCATTAACATCGACTGAGTAATTAAAAAAACTCGCACTAAGCACAGGTACATTACCCATTACCCGACTAATTATAAATATCGTTAAAAAGCTTGGCATTTCAATTAAACGCTTTAAAAAAAACCTTGCGTGCTACCAATATAAAAGAAAAAAATATCGCTTCTCAAGATGAATAAACGTCCTGCAAATCGAGTAACTCGCACTCAGAGCTCCGCACGTTTCACCGTGAAGAGCGTACACTCGATGCGAGTCAATCGATTCCATTTTTGAAACTCGCACTAAGCCTACTGGTCGTTTATGCGTACTTGACATTTGCTTGACTCGTCTTCTTGGGTACAATGTGTACAATTGCATGTGATTGTCTTTTATTATACTGGTCATTATGAGTCATGCTTACCTGTACTAATCTAAGCTTGGGCAATTACGTCATGATGCGTATGACTAGCTACCATTAAAGTGTACCACCTGCCGACCGAATGAAAGGCATGCGTGACTGAAGTTATGGCTTAAGAAAATACGCACTGTGCACTCGTATGATGTCATTGTAAGTTTTTAAAAGAAAAACAGAACAAAATATATTATAATTTGTGTAATTATGAATTTCTATAGCTCGTACTTACCTCACGTGCTTCACGTGCATTTCTCACATAAACACATAACTAATACTCAAAAACTATCAATATACTCCAAATATTGTTTATAACAGTAATTGTACACATTGTTAGAAAATAAAACTGCATACCACGTACCACGTCACCTTTAAGTTCCCGCCAAAAACTCCTGTAGGCTTAGTGCGAGTTTCAAAAATCGAATCGAATGACTCGCATCGAGTGTACGCTCTTCACGGTGAAACGTGCGGAGCTCTGAGTGCGAGTTACTCGATTTGCAGGACGTTTATTCATCTTGAGAAGCGATATTTTTTTCTTTTATATTGGTAGCACGCAAGGTTTTTTTTAAGGCGTTTAATTGAAATGCCAAGCTNTTGTAACACGCACTCGCACAAATGTCATTCGTGGTACTCATTTCGGTAAAATTACTCGGTTACGAGATCACAACGTTAATATGAACTCGCACTCACAAAATAACACCGGGTACGTTTGCCGCTAGGGGCGCTGTTCCAATTGCATACAAATTTGAGCAAACTGGCTCGCTATCGAGAGCGTTACAAAACTCGCACTAAGCACACTGTTTTTACTTTTCTTGGTATATTAAAACGGTTAATAAACTTAGCATTAATTAGGTATTTTTTACTACAGACTTTGGCAGGATTTGGTAGGCTTTCAACGAAAGTAAGGCAGGTTCTATAGTTAAGAAATGGTTGCACTGTATGGCACTTATTGCAAATAGCAAACTCCAATAAAAATATAGCGACGTTTTGGCGGGAACGCGAGGAGTGAAGTTGTGTGATTTGTTTTATTTTATCTATTTAGTGTTTCTTCAGATTTAAGTGTGTAATAACGGTGGTTTATTAACTGTTTGATATCTGTGAAAGTGCACAATTGTGGGAAAATGAAACAAAGCCGCTGGACGTAACTTCTCGGGATCCTCCAAAAAGTCCACTGAAAAAATCTCAGTAAATGACCACCATTTGACTTATATTATTTTACATCCAATATCATCTATTTTCCTTTAGTTTCATCCCAGTTGATTAATGTCCCAAATTAATCATCTTCATTTCATTTCATTTCACTCCACTTTATCATTTTTCATAAAAATAAGAATAAAAACTACAATGACTTAAAGGTCTTAGTTACCAGGTCTTAAAATCCCTTAAAAAATATATAGAAATTGGCTGACTTTTCGTTAGGTTCATGTTATTTTGATGTTATTATTTCTAATTTCTAGTCTTGGTAGGTACATTCTACTCTTGTTGTGTACTAAATTGCACCACACAGTTACTAATTTTGTGTACAAAAAGTAAAGTAACTTTAGGGTTGAGTTGTTTTGTTACATCTCTATTGTAGACTGCCGAAAATATTACAAAAAGTGATACGAATGAATTAAAAGCTACGCCAGTTTAAGTAACAAGGCGCAAACCAACATGCAGCGGAGTCTACCTCAGAATAAAGAAGCACTTCTTAAATCGTACACTACAAGATTAAAAGAAGATGTCAAAAGCATGTTAGAGAATTTTGAAGGTAAATAGTATTTGTTCTATAGAACAGAAGGTACCATTGATAAACATACCTAATTTTTTTAACAAGTTCACCGACAAAAGAATCTTATCATTTATGATAAAACTATGTTACATTTTTTGTTGCAGAAATAATAAAATTGGCAAAAGTAGAGAATGAATCTCAACTAAATAGAATGACGCAAATAGAACAAGACACATTTGAAATGCAAGTCAGGGCTGCTAATATAGGTAATATTAACCTTTAATCCATTTACTGGCTACACGAACACTAAATGCATTAATGAAGAAGTTTTTGATTTATAATCTGGCAAAAATAAGAAATTTTATTAATGGGGAAACCTTATTAATGCCGCTTCATAGAATAAATTCTTAACACAGTAATGCTTAACTATAAATTGCTATTGTTAATAATTGTTTTAAGAATTAAACCTTTTGTATTCAAAAGACTCATAATACTTAATATGCAATTCTTTTCTTGGCTTAATGCAATGCTTATGCAATTTAAGAAGCCACATATATAATATTTATGAATATTAATATAATCAAATTTTATTACAATGGTAAAAGTTCTGCCAACATAAGGGGTGCTCCAAAATTGATAATTATATTCTTGTTGAATGTATAAAATGGCATAGGATTGCAACAATTTTAATAAAAATAATGTTAATATTAATTTCAGTCAGAGCTGGAGAATCACTTATGAAACTAGTATCAGATATTAAACAGTATTTAATTCTCAATGACTTTCCATCAGTTAATGAAGCCATTACCCAAAATTCAAAATTGTTTCGTACAAAACAACAAGAGTGTGACCAGAAATTAATGTCTTTACGGGATGATATTGCAGCAGATTTATATGATTTAGAAGATGAATATTTTACCAGTATTTATAAGTAAATGTTAATTTTTTATATAAGCGAAATGTTCTTGAAAGTGAATCCTTTATTTAATTAGTTCTGTATGTACTTAAAATTAATGATCACTGTAAATACCAAATCTTTCACCTTTTACCAACAATAAAATATAAGTTTGTATTGCATTATTGAAACTAGTTGTAGCATAAATACTGATCTTAAATTGAGGTATTCATACATCATACAAGCTATAACATGACACAATGTGAACTAGTAGTTGTTTTATTTATTAATTTTAGTATAATTATAAACATACATATTATAATAAAAGAGATTGTAAACATTTTAATTATTATGACTTATTTTGTATAATCATAAATAAAATGATCCATTAAGTTTAAAAGTAAATGTTTCATTAGCTTAATATAATAAAACCTATACTATGTTCCAATCATTGACATTTAATTTGAATATAATAGTAGCTGGGACTGACTTAAATATAATCATTTTCACTACCCATTTGTGTACTATATTATTACAATTAAATGAACTTTAAGCCATTATCTATATTTATTTCAGATTGGATAATCTTGCGAATTCCTTCAAGCGAATTGCGTTAATATTGATAAAACCGGTCCTATCTTCAGGAGAAAAGCCTCCGGCGATATCCGTGGACACCAGGTCCTTGTTGTATAAACTGTTTGGACTTTTTCTTGCCAGAACGGTAACTGCAACAAATTAAGGTTTTATTCGACAAATATCGATTATAAAAAAGTCGCAGAAACCATATTAAATTACTATAATGGTTCAAATTTGCGATTATTTCTTAACGATCCTCATAAGGGCACCGCGGCCCGATTCTCCTGAGATTTTTTAAATTCACACAGAATCCAGCTATACATCAAATCAATAGTCATCAAATCTAATCGAGAGGCTATTTAAGCGACATTTTACAACTTTACAAGAGAGACATTTGAAGTCCAAAATTTGGAAAAAAACCATGACAAAACAAACTTCTTCAGCTATTTCAGTGGCGTAAACTTAATTGACGTTCAAGTAAAAACATCGAATACCAAATAAAAAGCACCTTTAATTACAAATATTAATGTCACTTATACCAAATAGCCTTTCACCGTTCGTAATATTCATCAAATATTATAAAAGGTTTTATTTTCAAAAATAATGTTATTTTATGCGTAATTTTATATCAAATTAAAACCTGGCCTATTTGTGTTCATATTCGTACTAACAGTTTCCTTTGAATAACTGAACGGTAACAGTTCCAGTAACAGACTCCTGGGATAGTTCCAGGCATTTCCTTGTAAACGCTGCTTCCGGTGAAAACTAAACTTGCGCAAAACATCACTTCCCAATGTAATGTGATATGACATCACTTTTACAGATAGGTGATATTACTCGAAAACATTACACATCACTCTTAACATTACTCGGTGCGTTCAAAGTGATGTGTATAAACACATCACTTAGGTAATGATTCGGGTGTATAGATACAATGTATTCGTCGTCACAGTATCTATTGAACGCACCGAGTAATGTTAAGAGTGATGTGTAATGTTTTCATCAATCATTACCTAAGTGATGTGTATAAACACATCACTTAGGTAATGATTCGGGTGTGTCATTACAGTAGTGTATTACAATACAAAGTATGAACTTTGTATTGTAATACACTGTTATATTACTTGACAGATTGACTTACTTAATAATATAATAATTTTATTTTTTACTTAATATAATTTATTGTGGGATGAACGGATTTCATATGGCGACTTAGACTGCAAATTGAGCTCGACAATAATGTTAATATACGAGAGCAGTAGATGCATTGTTTCGGCGCGATATCCTCAAAGTGCATCCAAGGAGGACTGTACTTTCATTTAGACGCCGTTATTTCTTTCACTTATTAAACACGCATTAAAACAAATAATAAAACTATCTTCAAACAAGTGCTTAAGTAATTCAAATCAAACACAAAAATTAATATGAAATATTACTAAACAATTACGAGCGACTAGCGATTTTACAAAAGTTGCGAATAAAAAATTAAGTAAGTACTTGCGGGGAACTACCGGCTGGCCGCATGAAAAATATAAACACAAATACCTATATTAAAATTCAGACGTACCATAGGTATAAAAATGTACCTAGCGGCCAGGACATACGGTTCAAAATCACTAGGAATAATTCCGTGTCGCTTGCTCATTTATTTTGCGTCGATCGGTCTGTCTCGCTCGCTCGGTTCCGTTCGTGTATTAAGCAACATTACACGACAAAGAAAGAAACATGTTGGGTGAATGTGATGTTTGTTTCCTTCGCGTAATGTGTGATGTTGCATTACATCGTAGAGTAATATTACCCGAGTAATATCACTCGCATTACTTACACATGTCTAGTTGGGTGATAGTGTGATGTTTGTTTCCTTCGCGTAATGTGTGATGTTGCATTACATCGTAGGGTAATATTACCCGAGTAATATCACTCGCATTACTTACACATGTCTAGTGAAAACCAAAATCCATTATATACAAAATCAGCCATTTTATCTTGTAGATATTTTTTCACTCTGCAATTTAGAAGATCATTATTATATTTTTACTAGCTGTTACCCACGGCTTCGTCTGCGTTGTCACAAGAAAAGTGTCAAGAATAGTTTCCCGTGGAAATAATATGTTTTTTTCCGAATAAAAGCCGCAGCCTTTGTCATTCGCCTGGTGTGATACTATCGCTTTGAAAATCATGTCAATCGGTTCCTTCGTCACAACGTTAAAAAACGACAAACAAACACACTTTCGTATGTAACTATGGGTTTTTTAAATTTTTCAATAAAAACAAGCAGACAAACTTCACATCCACGATTGTTTGTAAGTTATTTTCATCACAATAAGAAACTGTACCTCAGTACTTCTCTGTCGAGGGTGAATGCTTCCAAATCAACGTGCGCCACATGTAATACGGTGCCAGCCGGAGTTTCATACAAACCTCTGGACTGAAAATTTATACCAAAATGAACGACTCAATGTTTCTAGAAATAAACACGACGATAGTACTTATGGGTGGTCTACCCTCACAATACACCTTACTATCAGTATTACGTGTACTAACTTTGAAAGTGACTTTCATTTCACGGTGCTATTCATTCGATATCAAAATTGTTCGTGAGTTCATGTTAGGTAAGTACCTACTCACTTTGAAAACTTTACTTGTCAGATGATTTAAAGAAGCTTAATCGCATCAGTCGATATAATATAGCACGAGTTGGTTAGTGTTCGGTGCATCCGTTATTGGCTTACCGGATGGCTTGCCGATCAGGCTACAGATATGTTCTGTTTGTTTTATAATTGACACTATTTGGGGCTCTTCTGACGTTGAAATTAATGAATTACTTCTCACTTTGAGTTGGATTTTTATAGTTTTTTTCCGGCTACAATGATCTGATGATTCCGTCTGTGCAGCACGTTTAAGCTAACAGATGCATTAAAAGACGACAGCTTAGTAGATAATCGTAAAATTAATTTTAACTAAGGCTACGACTCGCGAAAATCGTATTAGTTTGACGAATTTAGAATAACCCCTCAAGGTTACTAGAATAGACAGAAAAAAAGAAAAGTGTCCGTTCGTTATAGTTGATCTACAATAAATAGTCTGTGAAGTCTTAAGTCTTCTGTTATTACACCAGAATTACCCAAAGTACTCCTGCTGTTCCAAAGAGTATTAAAAACAGCTAAGTGATTAAGTCTCATCTTCAATCCAAGAAAACGATTCTCAACTATGTCTATTCTGCCAATCCCATGCTGGCTGCCTAGTTTGTTTAATGTTTCTACGATAACAAGGGGATCGTTTACATGAAGAGCCATTTCGCGACCATTTGGAATTCGTAAAGAAACAGGCAATCCTATGGGGAGAAATGAATCAAAGGTTTATGCGTGGATAATTAAACCTAAAGTGATAAAATGGTGAAAAAGAATAAATGTCACGCTGTGTGAAAAGGCAACAACATTAATAAAATAAACATACCTACTCGTGTGCTCGGTTTTAAATAGGTAGTTACTTAGGAAAGATAAAAAGGTATTTGTTTTTTTACTACTTATATGGACGATCGAACTCACGGCCCGCCTAGTGTTAAATGGTTACCAGAGCCCAGTGTAGGTACTTAGGTACATATCGAAGGGTATAAGGCTATTTGCTTTTTAAGCTTTCTCTTAATACGCGACATTTATCTTTGTAATTAAAGCCGTGTTTGGTATGTACACCAACAGTTCCATGTTTTTAAATGAGCTTCAATTAAGTTTACTCCATTGAAATGGCTGAAGAAGTTTTTTGTTGTGCCATTTTTTCCAAATTTTTTACTTTGTAGGGCTATTGTGGTAAAATGTAAAGTTGCAAAAATTTCACTTAAACCAAATAGCCTTTCAACCGTCGATATACTTATATCGGTTGTACCATGCGTCAAAGCGGAATGCATGATTGTTTTGAAGCCGAAGAGATGGCTAACTATTCATAACCAGCAACTTAACTACGTTACGCCTTATTATCAGTAACTAGTGAACCGCCCTCGCTTCGCTTCGGAAACTGTAATTTATTATTGATTTCTCCACTATTTAATGGATGTTATTATACATATAAACCTTCCTCTTCAATCACTCTATCTATTTAAAAAAAACGCATCAAAATCCGTTGCATAGTTTTAAAGATTTAAGCATACATAGGGACAGACAGATATAGAGACAGAGAAAGCGACTTTGTTTTATACTATGTAGCGATTACGCAAATTGATAAAACTTACCAGTTTGATTTTTTTACCCAATGTTAATCTGTTATCGCCGAGTCGTTCGTGAACACGCTTTAAGTATATTGTATATTTAATGTACCTATACATATTATTGTATATTTGAAGAATTACCTTTTTCAAAATGTATATCCAAAACGCTCGCATAATCATCAGCCTTTGCTAAGTCTCGTGTCATTTTAAATATGCCCGCCGGTGGAATGGCAGCGGGATCCTCCAATACCCCAGATTCGTAACTGAACAACAACAACAACAATACTGATGATAATTCTAGCTACTAGTAAGCAAACAGACAACCCATTGAGATTCTCGCCGGATCTTCTCAGTGAGTCACGATTCCGAACCAGTGGTAGATTCCGCCGTTGCCGCCGCCATTTTATATTCGATTCCTTATTGCCGCGGCTTGTTTATGCTGGATTAGTATAGCTACATAGTTTAAATATAGACAAGTCTCTCTTCCATTAAAAGTAGAAAAATAAGATAGTAAGATTATTTTATCAGTCTCCGATTAGATATTTAATTCAATTAAATACCTAAATTTTTTTTATTGCCCTTGTAGGCAGACGAGCATACGGCTCACCTGATGGTGAGTGGTTACCGTCGCCCATGGACTTCAGCAATGCCAGGGGCAGAGCCAAGCCGCTGCCTACCGCTTAATACTCTCCACAAGCCTTGTTTGAAGAAGGACATGTCATAGCGCTCGGGAAACACCGTGGAGGGGAGCTCATTCCATAGCCGGACGGTACGTGGCAAAAAAGTCCTCTGGAAACGCACTGTGGATGACCGCAGTGGCTCCAGGTAGTATGGATGAACTCTACTCCGATGGCGGGCGGTGCGATGGTAAAAACGAGATGCCGGTATCATCTCGAACGATTCCTCAGAGCACTCCCCATGGAACATACGGTACAAAATACAGAGGGAACCGAAGTCCCTCCGCAGACCCAGAGGTTCCAAACGATCCGTGAAAATGGGACTATCGACAATCCGAACGACCCTCCGCTGTATGGAGTCAAATGAACGAAGCTGGTATTTGGGAGCCCCGGCCCAGAGATGGGAGCAGTACTCCACGCGAGGCCGGACTTGTGCTTTATAAAGCAAAAGCCTTTGTCCAGGCGTGAAGTACCGCTTCGCTCTGTTGAGGACTCCCAGCATTTCGGACGCCAACTTGGCTTTGCCTTCCAAATGACTCCGAAACTGAACAACGCTCGAAATGTCGATCCCAAGTATCCCAATACTCTCGGAAGGTTGCAGGGATACTCCTTGGAATTGCGGCGCCATGACAAAGGGGTCCTTCTTCGCAGTGAACGCGCAAATTTGTGTCTTTAACGGGTTGAATTGAACCAAGTTCAATTCCCCCCATTTGGAGACTCGCCCCAGAGAGTTCTCCACTTCAGACACAAGTTTTGATCGTCTCTCTTGCACCACGCTCCGACAGAGACTCTGATGGCCGATATATCGCGCATCCCCCGTGCTGTCATCCGCATAGCAATGCATGCCATCAATAGACAGCATGTCATTGATATACAGGATGAAAAGCGTGGGGGAGAGCACCGAACCTTGTGGAACGCCAGCGTTAATGGTCATGGTATCAGAGCAGTCACCGTCTACAATGACCGTGATGCTCCGCCCATCCAAAAAGCTAGCGATCCACTTGCAGAGACCCTCGGAGATTCCGTAAGATGGTAGCTTCGACAGAAGTGCCCTATGCCAGACCCTGTCGAAGGCCTTCGCGATATCAAGGCTCACAGCAAGAGCCTCGCCCTTGCTCTCCAAGGCTTCAGCCCACCTGTGAGTAAGGTATACAAGAAGATCGCCAGNGATTCCGTAAGATGGTAGCTTCGACAGAAGTGCCCTATGCCAGACCCTGTCGAAGGCCTTCGCGATATCAAGGCTCACAGCAAGAGCCTCGCCCTTGCTCTCCAAGGCTTCAGCCCACCTGTGAGTAAGGTATACAAGAAGATCGCCAGCTGAGCGACCGTGACGGAAACCGTACTGTCGGTCACTGATCAGCTGGCGATTTTCAAGATACTTCAGGAGTTGTGTATTTATTATTCGCTCTATCACCTTAGAAAGCAAGGAAGTTATCGCGATAGGCCTATAGCTCGATGGGTCCGACCGGTCATCCTTCTTGGGGATAGGGTGGACGTGGGCGGTCTTCCATGAAGACGGAACCCTGTTAGCGCAATAAGAGAGGCGATACAAGCGCGTTAGCGCAAGCGTCAGCTCAGGGGCGCACGTTTTCAGAACCACTGCAGGGATGCCATCTGGCCCACTCGACTTATGGACGTCCAGGAATCGTAGTTCCCGCCTGACTGCACACTGTGTAAAACAGATCCCCGGCAGGGAACTCACACCGGGGGATGTTCGGTAGTGTGGCACCCCCGTCGTCCACAGTCAAGTTCGAGGCGAAGAGTTTGACCAGAAGGTCAGCCTTCTCTTTCGCACTATGGGCCAGACTGTCATCGGACTTGCGTAGTGGTGGGAGACTAGACCTGCAAAAGTTTCCTTCTGCAGCTTTGGCGAGCGACCAAAAAGCACGTCTTCCAGAGGGATAGCTCTTCAGTCGTTCGCCAATTCTAGCAACGTGCTACGATTTCGCCCTGGCAATAACCTTCTTGTAGGACCTGGAAGCGGCGTTATATTTCCGCCTTTCCTCTGAGATAATTCAATTAAATACCTACCTAATATTTAATTCAATTCAATACCTAATATTGAATTCAATTAAATACCTAATATTTAATTCAATGAAATACCTAATATTTAATTCAATGAAATACCTAATATTTAATTCAATTAAATACCTAATCAAGCTCATTAATACTTGAAACTTTTATGCTGGTATGATTCTCAGAGAGCTAGGAGTGGGTAATATCGGTTTTCCGCGTATCGAATCGTATCTATATATCGAGTATCGATATCGGATATTGAATCTATATATTTTCTGAATCTATATATTGATGGATGCTAGTAGATTTTCTCGATTCATGATATTTGAGATTTGAAACGATACGATGATATAGTATTGTAGTAGATATAGATTCAAGTCAACGTTATACGGTTGGTTTTCTGATATCAATTTATAATATGATCTTAAAGTAATAAAAAGAACATGAAAATAAAAATATCAAAAAAACTTTCCTTCATGCTTTTACCAGGCTTAGGACTGGCTACATTATTTTCAGTTTTTAGTATTTTGTGTCTTAATTTAAAATTACAAAATATACCAAAAGAGTGTAGATTTCAAAAGTTTAATACAAACACAAGAAATAAACTCAATTATTTGGATTCAACTAAAAATAGAAAAATGTGTACTTTAAAAATCAAACACAAAAAACTTTTAAGTATTTATAAACACTTGTCCAAAAATTCTAGTTCAAGGTCAAAGCGCGTGAAATTAAATTCAACGATGCAAATAGGCTATACTGCATTCAAGTTAGGGTCGAAAGTTGAAACTTCTTTCCTTAATTGTATCCTGCTGATACGCTAAGAATAATCTACAGACATATGGACTTAAATATAAGGTTTACAATTGTATGGATAATGCCTGTTTCTGTTTCATTCATCACATGATATCCCTATCGTGCGCTCACTCACTCTGGCCGATTCGATACGAACCAAACGAATATTGCTGATATTCACGAATCGGTACGATATGCCGATGCGCATCACATCGAGCAATATCGTGTATCGGCTGATATCGAAATATAGATTTCGATTCACGAATCGGTACGATATGCCGATGCGCATCACATCGAGCAATATCGTGTATCGGCTGATATCGATATATAGATTTCGATTCACGAATCGGTACGATATGCCGATGCGCATCACATCGAGCAATATCGTGTATCGGCTGATATCGTTATATAGATTTCGATTCACGAATCGGTACGATATGCCGATGCGCATCACATCGAGCAATATCGTGTATCGGCTGATATCGATATATAGATTTCGTGCGGGGCGATATCGGATTCAACGATATTGCTGCGATATATAGATATTGAATCTATATACGATTTATATCACCCACTCCTACAGAGAGCTCAGTGTGCTTAGTGCGAGTTTTTTAACGTTCTCGATAGCGTAAAAGTTAGCTCATATTTGTATGGAATGCGATCGTTTGTCTACGTTTGCCGCTAGGGGCGCTGTTCCAACTGCATATAAAATTGGGTTAACTTTTACGCTATCGAGAACGTTAAAAAACTCGCACTAAGTACAATGATGTCTTCAGTGATTACTAGCTACCTATTTATGACTTCCACGGGAAGAAATGAATGGTGCTATTGTAGGTCCGGATAACAATTAAATGTGTGTATGTGCATGCATGCAATTAAATGTAAACATGTGTATGTTAATGATACACTTTGAGCCAAGTGTTTGTTTCGAGAAATCACTCAAAAATCGATTTGTGTTTTAGTTGGGCACATATTTATTTCATAAGCATGGATGTACATTAGCAGAACGATGACTAAGTAATAAAATGCATTAAATTTTTCCATTTAAAATCGTTATTTATTTCATAAACAGCAACAAAAGTAACTACATAATTTAATTGAGTCATCACTAGAAAATCATTAATTTGGGCTGAACAAGTAATGAACACCCTGCCCAGGAATCTGCTTGGCTGTAACTGGTCTTCCAATTTTATAGTCTTCTAAAAACACCATTAGAAGAGCAAATCCTCCTAGAGTACCCAAAAACCAAGTCCATTGATGCAGCAGTGAAAATCTTCGCCTTATGCTAATGTCACAGCGATCTCCACCAAATATTTCTGCAGTAGCGTGCAACTAAAGAATAAAATATTATTGTAAAAAATATCACATTTATACATATATCACAAGAATTATATGCATTGACCATTTTGAAAAACATTTCGAGGAATAGAAGCAATAAAAAAAAAAGAATAGAATTGCTGACTGAAAACCAATTTTTGATGAGAAATCTTTAATTACATTTTTAATAAAATATGTTTGACCTTTGTTTGTCCTCCAATAATATAATTATTAATTTTATTCAATCTTAAACATACTTTACCCTATATTTTTAAATACTCTGTGTATGAATGAAATGTCAATTTTGGATCTTTCCTAATTTCAACTCAAAGCATATAGGTATGTTTATAGCATTCATGATGCCAACACCTTTAAAAAGTATTGGCATATTCTAATAACTATTAAAAATATCTGCACAGAATATTTAAAAAAATTTATCTTAAATCAGTCTATATTTGATTGTAATGATAAATAAAGGATTGGAAAACATGGGTTTCATTATTTCTGGAAGTTTGCAGGAAGCTCTAAGACAACTGAGAAAAATCCTGTATGGCCAGTGCATTTGTGTCAAGTCATGCAGTTGTAGCAAGTGCTGAGGTTTTTACCATTATTTTATAAGTAAATGAACACAATTTATGTTTACAACTATCAGAATTCTACAAATATCAAATTATTATAGAGTGCCAGATGAATAAGATATTTGATTCTTGTAAATCACAGTTTAGATTGTAAGCAATTGTTACACAAAATTATCTTAAGTAAACACTGCTTTTTCTTCTTTATTCATTTGAAGTTAAGGCAGATAGATATATATTTTCTCGACCGGCCTCTCTTCTGAATAGAGGTTCGGTCTGCCGATGCCCCGGGTCAGCGGTCTCGCTCCACGCGGCGGTGCGTATTGGTGGACGCCTGAGATCGCGCTCCTCCGAGAGGAGTGCGTGCGGGCACGCCGCCTAAGCGCCCGCCATCGCCGTCGCCACCTTCGCGATGCGTACTTCGCGGAGGTAGCGCCCCGCCTGCATTCAGACTGCCGTCAGAAGTAGGAGGCATTGCGGCGGGCCATCGGCGAGGCCAAATCTCAGAGTATGAAGACGCTCGACCAGGATCCTTGGTTGCGCCCGTACCAAACGGTCCGCGAGAAATTGCAGCCGTGGGCGCTCCCGGTGATAGAGCGTCTCTAACCTCGACAGCTGCGGGAGATTGTCTCCGGGCTGTTTCCGCGGATGGAGAGGGATTTCAAGCCCCCCTCCATGGGCGCGCCGCCACGCGGTGACGTAAGCGGTGATGCCTCTGCTGAGGTGGCCCTCTGAGCATCTTAGAGGAGGAGATTCGTGCAGCCGTGTCGAGGATGCGGAGGAAGGGTTACGACCTTGTAGAAGGTTCAGCTTCTTCTTTTTTTTTATTGCTTAGATGGGTGGACGAGCTCACAGCCCACCTGATATTAAGTGGTTACTGGAGCCCATAGACATTTACAACGTAAATGCGCCACCCACCTCGAGATATAAGTTCTAAGGTCTCAGTATAGTTGCAACGGCTGCCCCACCCTTCAAACCGAAACGCATTACGGCTTCACGGCAGAAATAGGCGGGGCAGTGGTACCTACCCGTGCGGACCCCCAAGAGGTCCTGCCACCAGTAATTACGCAAATTCTAATTTTGTGGGTTTGATTTTTATTACACGAAGTTATTCCTTCAACATGGAAGTCAATCGTGAACAATGGCTAACTATATTTCGTTAGAAAAATTGGTACCCGCCTGCGGGATTCGAACATCGGTGCATCGGTCAACACAAATGCACCGGACGTCTTATCCTTTAGGCCACGACGACTTCAGCTCCTAGCCCGAATAAAAAAATGAAAAAAAAGATAGATATATATATAACTTAAATAAGTTAGGTGCGACGAAACATTTATCCTGATAGATTTATTTCTTTTAAAATATCTGATCAGGATCTACTCTTAATTAACAAGTAATAGCTGCTGATTTACCATTAAAATAAATAAATAATTTAGGCTAGTAAAATACTGTGACTTTTAATTTTTCTATTACTTGTGTGTGTTAGTTGTGTGTTTTTATTATATTTTAAGCAAAGGTAAAAAATATTGCATGTTTGCTTTCAGAAGATGTTATTTAGAAATGTAGTAACTTTTTGTAAAACTCAATATTAATGACACGGAATACTTCTGCACTAGTCAATTTTTACATTAAAGGATTCAGAACAATTGCATTTATCCTCCATCTATATTACTATAGATTGCAGATTAAATTTTAGTATTTTTGACACAAAACAGTAAATTAATTTGGTTATAGGGTATGCATTTGAATTATAAAAGCCCACAGTATAATTGATAATTCACATAATTGATACTATAGTAATCAAGTCAATGTTGTGATAATGTTGGAGACGTACCGGTTCATTGAAATTCCTCTTCAATTCCGGGTTATCATAAGGATAATGAGGATCCTTGGAGTCCTCACCAATATCAGGTAGCTTCGGATAATCACCATAGCCCATATCTTCAGGATAGGGAGTATACTCCTCTACAGTCATTCCATATTTCTTAGCTGCTGCAGCCCGTTCTTCTGGTGTTTTAGGATAAGGACCAGGTTGGTACTGGTAATTCCAATCTAAAAAACAAGAAATGACGTAACACCTGTACAGTACAAAATTGTGTCTAAAGTAATGAATACGAAGGCTTACGATTCCTAGTGGCATTGCAAAACAGAGCTGCCGTTTTTCTTATGGATTGAGAGTTGTTGAACAGAGCTCTTTTCAGTAACGAAGACATCTTTACATTTAGAAACATACAACCATAGACAATACACTTAGAAGACATACAACCTCTCAAATATTAAGTCTATAATCTATGCATACAACATAAGTATTATCTATGCATATAACTAGCACCTATTTTTTATTTAATCTATTTTATTTTTAAATTTAGTTATTAGGTTTCGTTATTAGGTAGGTTTAGTTATCTATGATTTCATTTAGGTGCAGAACTTTTCACGTCTATCTGTTGTTTTACTTTTTAACTCATGACAGGCTTTTACATTACCGTAACTATCTATCTTATATCGTTCCGCCTACCAACGTCCACTACTGGACACAGGCCTCCTCTAACGGCCGTTTTCAATAACCTATCTGTCCGTAGTTTCGGTTACTGAAGATAGACAAATCTGTATTTTTGTCCTTGCTTGCGTTTCAATAACCTATCGACGACGAAATCTGTCGATAGGAGGACGGATAGCCTACTAAAGATAGAACGTTCAGACATATCGTGCTTACTCCCGATTCAATACGAGTTTTAAGTAACTCTCCGATAGTCGACGCTCCTAGTAAGGGCATCTTCATCTCAATTGATTAATTTGATTGACAAATTATTCAACTTCATTTTATTTCCCTAAAGATCATTTCTTATGAATCAGTGAATGCATAAGATTAGGCCGTATACCTTCGCCTTTCCAGTAGGAAAAATGGAACTAGTACCGTACTCCAAACAAACGTCCACAGTGTAAACGTCATCTACAGGGCTCTGTAAATTTGGCCCCCCTTTTTTTATTTTCGGATTTTTTTATTTTCAATTATTTGTTCGTCGTTTGTTCGTTAATGTTCGAATGTAAAAATAGTTTGTTCGTCTTTTGTTCATTTTAATCAATTATCGTTTGTTCGACGACTATTGGTGATTGTTCGATCTTATAAACAATTAAATTCCCAATTATTAATTATTTTACATTAATGTAATAACGAAATACTTCACGAGATGGCGTTACAAAAAATCCCTTCCCAAAACTATAAAACCGTTGTGATTGTCTACTGAATAAATAATGTTTATTCGTAGGTGATTGTTTAAGATGTTATGAATATTTCAGTTTTGATTTCAGCAAAATAACTTGAACTTTACTATTGAATTCCGAAAAAAATTCTAATTAAGGCTGAGTTAAGTTCAGCTTTTTATTTAAGCCTCTTACTGTAGTTTTTAAATTACATTTATGCGGATTGATGTTTCAAAGCTTTCAGATTTCAATTTTAAAATCTGAAATAATTAAGAACAGCGTCATCTACCGTTCACATTTGAAACATAATTTAATTCGGTTTAAATTTGTAAAAGTTTATGTTGATTATTATTACACTAATTAATTGAGCGTTTCATTAGCTTTTAAGCTGAGTGACTATTTATAATTTATTTTTATTCTATTGTCTATTTTTGTTAAGTAATAAATGAGCAAAAAATAATACTTAACAAAAAGATATTAAATCCGAACAAAAACAGTTTCACTGTAAAAAATTGCGCCAAGTCCACGTTTATAAAACTCATCTCAATAACATTTGCACTTTACAAAAAAAATAAGACTTCAATAACTTTCATTCTCTACAAAAAGATGTGAAATACAAAAAAATACCAAGAAACCGTCATAATGTTGAAAAAATTTCTTTCATATGAAATCTTTTTTATGAAATATGACATTATGAAACGAAATGAAGCTAATTACTTTAATATGAAATATGGCATGGCATGGCATGGCATGGCATGAAATGAAATGAATTGAAATGAGATAAGATGATGTGATATGGGATATTTTAATGAAAAATGATAATATGGAGTGAAATTAAATGAAGAATTTGAGACATTAATCAACTGGGATGAAATTAGATGAAATGATATGAGATGAAATATAATCTCAGTAAAATGGTGGTCGTCTACTGAGATTTTTTCAGTGGACTTTTTGGAGGATCCCGAGAAGTTACGTCCAATGGCTTTGTTTTTTTTTTTATTGCCCTTGTAGGCAGACGAGCATACGGCCCACCTGATGGTGAGTGGTTACCGTCGCCCATGGACTTCAGCAATGCCAGGGGCAGAGCCAAGCCGCTGCCTACCGTTTAATACTCTCCACAAGCCTCGTTTGAAGAAGGACATGTCATAGCGCTCGGGAAACACCGTGGAGGGGAGCTCATTCCATAGCCGGATGGTACGTGGCAAAAAAGACCTCTGGAAACGCACTGTGGATGACCGCAGTGGCTCCAGGTAGTATGGATGAACTCTACTCCGGTGGCGGGCGGTGCGATGGTAAAAACGAGATGCCGGTATCATCTCGAACAATTCCTCAGAGCACTCCCCATGGAACATACGGTACAAAATACAGAGGGAACCGAAGTCCCTCCGCAGACCCAGAGGTTCCAAACGATCCGTGAGAATGGGATTATCGACAATCCGAACGGCCCTCCTCTGTATGGAGTCAAATGGAAGAAGCTGGTATTTGGGAGTCCCGGCCCAGAGATGGGAGCAGCACTCCACGCGAGGCCGGACTTTTGCTTTGTAAAGCAAAAGCCTTTGTCCAGGCGTGAAGTACCGCTTCGCTCTGTTGAAGACTCCCAGCATTTTGGACGCCAACTTGGTTCTGCCTTCCAGATGACTCCGAAACTGGACATTACTCGAAATATCGACCCCAAGTATCCCAATACTTTCGGAAGGTTGCAGGGATACTCCTTGGAATGGCGGCGCCATGACAAAGGGGTCCTTCTCCGCAGTGAACGCGCAAATTTGTGTCTTTAACGGTTTGAATTGAACCAAGTTCAATTCACCCCATTTGGAGACTCGCCCCAGAGAGCTCTCTACTTCAGACACAAGTTTTGATCGTCTCTCTTGCACTACGCTCTGAGAGAGACTATTATGGCCGATATATCGCGCATCCCCCGTGCTGTCATCCGCATAGCAATGCATGCCATCAATAGACAGCATGTCATTGATATACAAGATGAAAAGCGTGGGGGAGAGCACCGAACCTTGTGGAACGCCAGCGTTAATGGTCATGGTATCAGAACAGTCACCGTCTACAACGACCGTGATGCTCCGCCTATCCAAAAAGCTAGCGATCCACTTTCAGAGACCCTCGGGGATTCCGTAAGATGGTAGCTTCGACAGAAGTGCCCTATGCCAGACCCTGTCGAAGGCCTTCGCGATATCAAGGCTCACAGCAAGAGCCTCGCCCTTGCTTTCCAAGGCTTCAGCCCACTTGTGAGTAAGGTATACAAGAAGATCGCCAGCTGAGCGACCGTGACGGAAGCCGTACTGTCGGTCACTGATCAGCTGGCGATCTTCCAGGTACTTCAGGAGTTGTATATTTATTATTCGCTCCATCACCTTGGAAAGCAAGGAAGTTATCGCGATAGGCCTATAGCTCGATGGGTCCGACCGGTCATCCTTCTTGGGGATAGGGTGGACGTGGGCGGTCTTCCATGAAGACGGAACCCTGTTAGCGCAATAAGAAAGGCGATACAAACGCGTTAGCGCAGGCGTCAGCTCAGGGGCGCACGTTTTCAGAAACACTGTTTCATTGTTGCATGCATTGTTTCATTTTCCCACATTTGTGCACTTTCACAGATGCTAAACAGTTAATAAACCACCGTTATTACACATTTAAACCTAAAGAAACAATAAATATGTGGCGTTCAAGAACGCACCTTTTTATGATGCGTAAGCCGAAACGCACGAGATGTGGGAAAAGAATATAGTCTGTGCCACGGGACCTTTTTACCGCCAAATATTTAAAAACATAAAAATAATTTATAATGTGTTAAATAACTAATGTAATATAATTACTTAGAATTTTTTATGCCGCTACAACAATAAAATTTATATTGTTCCAACTGTGGTGTTAATTACATAAAACACGACTTTACGGCGAAACAAAGAAGGGACTCTATATGAACTCCCTTAAATAGACAAAACAAAACAAATCGCACAACTTGACACCTTGCGTTCCCGCCAAAAAGTCCGCGCAGAGATTATTAGATATACGGTACATACGATAGGTACCGTACCGTACCTGCTAAGTCTATGGTTAGAACAGACTAGGCTGTATGTGCTTAGATCCCCTAATAAGGAAAAATTGTACAAAAAAAAAAGTCTATGGTTATTCTTACACCTATTAGTATCAAACGCGAAAATGATAATTAAGTGTTTATGTGGAAAAAGCGCGGGAAACTTCGTTTATGGTAGACGTATTTTTCACGGTGGTGAAAATTTAATTTAATTTTATAGTTAAAACGCGGAGGATAAGCTGGTAGTGTAAGTTTTAGTAATATATGTAATCTTTGTATCATATTTGTGTATAGTGTCATCGTATAGTTGGTAAGTTTTTATAATTTTTGTAAATATTGTATGAACGAGCCCCCCGATCTCGATCGGGGGGATGATGGCTATGTTGGCCTGAATCTCCCCGTGGGATCATATGTAACTGTTGTTTCACAAGATGAATTTGATAAAATGGATACGGATTGTTCCTTATCATCTCAGACAGGTGAAGGAAGTCGTAAACGAACACGTTATCTACGCCTTTGTCGGCAGTGTACGAAAAGGAGAAATAAGAAAGGTGGTTCTAGCGGTGATTACTGTCAGTGCGAAAGTTTATGCAATATGGAAGATGAGTCAATTTTAATAAAAAAGATTACTTCTAAAAGTTCTAAACCTATATCTCAATCGACGTCATCTTCACACTCGCAAAATAATAATAATTCACATAAAACGTCCTCTCAACCATCAACATCTTATACGGAAAATTCAAATATCTCTCAAGACTCTAACGCGGGAAATTCAAATATCTCTCAAGACTCTAACGCGGGAAATTCAAATAACACGAAAACTACAGTAACCAATACAGACTCCCGTTGGATCGGCCGGACTGAATATGTTCTTACTGATGTTTCCCCTTATTTGATACACGTTCAACGTATACAAAGTTCACCTGATGACGGGACCGTTCTCCATCCTATAACTTTTGGCAATTTTTTAAAACAGAACAAATTTGAAAATATTATTCCCGGTAGTGTAAAACGTATNGGTTGAGAAGCAGCAAGTTCAAAGGCAAACTTTATGCTGAAATTCAACCCTCGATCTCCAGTAAACCATGGTTCTTTAAAGCTAAAAGTTCTAAAATTGTCACTTCTATCATTTCCAGAATGCGTTTAGGACATGTATGTACACCTCATCATTTAGCAAGGCTTCGTATTGTTGATAGCAATATTTGTGAGTGTGGAGAAGATATTGGTGATCTCGACCATATTTTCTTTTCTTGTTCCCAATATGACCGCACCTCCTTTATGAATTCCTTACAATTATTACAGGTTCCGTTTCCGACTAAAATCTCCTGCCTTTTGCTTTATCCTTTATTGTATTATAATGTATTATCCTCTTTCATAATCAATAATAATATTAAGATTTAATATATTTAATTTATTTTTATTAATTTATTTCCATATCTTGTTTTTAACTAGCTTATCCTTTTGTTTCCTTTTGACGACTTTGTCGCGTGTAGTTTCCCTACCTTTCACTTGAAACTGGCATAAAGTTAAAACTATTGCCATAAAGGAAAAAAAAAAAAAAAAGTGTTTATGTGTAGGTTTCCATCCAAGTCAAATTTTATAAATTAAATAGGTATGTCTAAGTAGGTAATTTTTAATCTTCAGATATTAGATAAATGATGGGTAACGAAAACTCACAGCTAAGTGGCTTGGAAATAGAGGATAAAGCTGTAGAGATAACAGAATTTTGGCAACAATATCAGGCCACTATAAAAGATAGTTGTAGATACTTCAGTCTGAAAGGGGATGGTTCAGTGTCTGTTTTTAAAGGAGAAGCGGCTGCAGGACCACTTTGGGCTGTATCGACACCTCTAGAAAAATTTTGTAATGTGAGTTTTATTCCTTAATTAATTTAAGTGGAAATAAACATTTGGTACTTCGAAGTAAAGCAACAATTATATTTTTACAGAATTTATTAAAATATCGACATCCATGTATTGTGAGATACATATCAGCATGGCAACAGCGTTCGACACTGCATTTGGCAACAGAATATGTGCTACCTCTAAGTCATGTTCTGAAAACTCTTTCACCTTTACAAATTTGCATTGGATTAAACAACATTCTTAGAGCTTTAGTATTCTTGCATGATCAGGTAAGCAACCACATTAACAGACTTGCTTACAAATGGGATATAATAATATATGGGGGAAAATATAAAATATAATGAATAGCTATAGCTCTTTTTTGTTGACTGTTAACTTTAAACAAAATTAGGATTTATAATGAATAAAACTATCACAGTCGAAGGTATAGTCTAATGATTTATGGACAACCCAAAATGAATTTAAAAAATAAGTAACTGAGGTAAACATTTTTAAACACTATTCTATCGACTCAATCACTAACTTTTTACTGAAAGCTTTGTGGTCGGCCGGCGGCACTGCTCTTACGCCCTGCCTGCATGCATTCCCCTTAAAGACCCATGAGTATTAACAAATAGGGATGCGTGCATTATAAAGTCATATAAGCTACAATTTGTTACCCTGGCTCTTTTTATGACAGGTGAAGTTACTACTGACTTTTTGTAGAACATTTGAAAACAAAACTTAGGCTTCATAAAATATAAGTTAAAATTAGGCATGTGAACTGTCTATTGTCTACTAGACACAAATAATGTTGATACAATATATGTAGAGGCTCTTATATCATTAATATTCTATAAGACACTAGCTGTACTGGCTTGCTTCGCTGGGCATTGAAAATTAACTTTATTATTTATTGTCATTATTATTAGGGAGTCCAACACTCTTGTAAATAATAGCCTATCCATTAAGTACATGCATTTTCTACATGGATACCAAGTATCAAGTCAATCGGATGCATGGTTCAGTAGTTATAACTGAACATCCATAAAAACCACTGTAGATTTTTATATTAGTATAGATAATGAAACAATGATTCATATTGAGGGGTGAAAAGCTATTTTGTTAAAGCAACATTACAAGAGACCCATTGAAAGTTTAAATTTTGGAAAAAATAGTATAAAAAAAACTTCTCCAGATATTTGAATGGGGTAAACTTAGTTGAAGTTCAATTAAAAACATCAAATTGTTGATACTAATACCAAATAAAACAGACTTTTAATTACAAAGATAATGTCGCTTAAACCATATAGCCTTTGACCCTTCTATATGGACCGTTACTAAACTGAATCAATATAGTAGTGTATTGACACTCTTGAACTTGATTGATAGTTTAGCAATCTGGACATGTTGATGTTAAAGGAAATGAATATGCTGATGAGTTACCAAAATAGGTTCCGATAAAACTATGATAGGCCAAAACCATGTACAGAAATTCTAATGAGCATTTTCCATTATACAATAAGGGTCTACTCTGAAACCCAATTAAAATGAATTTTAAGATTTTTTAGAAATTTGTTTTAATTTCCAGGCTAGCATGTCACATAATAATGTCAGTACTTCAGCTGTATATGTGACAGGTGATGGCCAGTGGAAACTAGGTGGCTTGCAATACTTATGTCCATTTTCTGAGCTCACACCGGCTTATTTAAAACATGCTAGAATCCATAGGTCAGTATTTTATAATTATTTTGAATTTCACTGGACTTTTGATTACCTAAATTAAAATCTTATGTAATGATTTCATTATATGGTTTTAATAAAAAAAATTTTTCAGGTATGATAAAGCCATTGATCCCAATGAAGATTCAAATGAGCTAACAACAAAAGTGGATCAATATGGTTTTGCAGTACTTGTTGAAGATGTTCTAAAGGGACAAAGCGATGGTATTTTTTGTAAACATTTATTAGATAGACTATCCAAATATATTATAAAATCAACATATTACAAGAGAGAACTTAGAGAGATGCATTTTTTTTCATTTAAAATGTAACATTTTGGTAGACATAAGGCAAATGCTGCCATCCAACCTCAGACATAAGTATTTTTATACATTAGTGCATAGATGGATGAAAGTGTACATGACCAACATGATGTAGTTGGTCATATACATTACAACGTAAATGCCATTACTAATCTTCAGGTTCTATTTTCAATTGTATTGCATAATAGCTATCGTACCCTTCAAACTCGAACAATTAATATACTTGCCTTTTTGCAGAAAAGGGCAGGTTGGTGGTATCTACCCAGCTCATGATATGTGTCTTAAAATAAGATGAATTATATTATCATGCTTTTTTTATTCTTAATATTATAGTAAAAACGCAGTTTTTTAGTTGAACAGACTACATTCAGTTCACCATTCTGCAAATTTCAGATGAGGTACCATATTTAACAAATTTTAAAAAATACTGTAAAGACAACTTGAAAAATGAAGATCCAACAAAAAGGTCAAAGCTATCAGAGGTTTTGCAACACAATTTTTTCAACCACACATTTATCAGTATTTATAAGTTTCTTACATTCCTGCCTTTGAAAAGCGAAGATGAAAGAAGTGAATTCTTCACAACCATTTTAAACAATTTGAAATGTTATGATGAGGAAACTGTAGCTAAGCAATTGAGTGGATTGTTGCTTTCAAGACTCACAATGTTAGATGCAACTGCACGGAGGGAAGTCATTCCATATATCCTCGAACCTTGTAATGGTAATTTTGATTTTATGTAAAAGTCTTATGTTTTTTTTCATTGGTATAAAATGGACTAACGGGCACAATAATTCTGCTGTCACTCAAACTTCACTGTCTTGTCGCATTCTTCGGATCGGCTCTCAGGCTTTGGCTCTTCAAGCACCAGTTAGCGTCCTCGTCGAAGACGTCAATTTGATACGACGAAGAGTCGACGTGCAAACTAGCCCATAGACACAACCCACTGAGTTTCACGCCTGATCTTCTCAGTGGGTTGCGCTTCCAATCTCGCGATAGATTCCCGGTCACCGTCCTCGTCGAACCCGTCGCTTGCGACGAAGGGCTCGACGAGCGAACTAACCCATAGACACAGCCCACTGAGTTTCTCGCCGGATCTTCTCAGTGGGTCGCGTTTCCGATCCGGTGGTAGATTCTGCGAAGCACTGCTCTTGCTAGGGTCAGTGTTAGCAACTCTCCGGTTGAGCCCCGCGAGCTCACCTACAAACGTTAGGGTGAAGCTGAAATAGCCTCTCAAGGCTATCNCAAAAAAAAAAAAAAAAAAAAAAAAAAAAAGATAGATTCAGCGAATCTATCGCGAGGGGTTTTTGGCTTTTTTGCTAGGGCTAGTGCTAGCAATTTTCTCTCAGGTTGAGCGCGTGAGCTCCTATACGTCCGCGAAAAGCTGGAATAACTCCTTAGGCTACCAGCGAATAGGTAGGAAAAAAATAAACATTTGTGCTAATTGGTATATTATTTTCAGAGAGACAACAAAATAGTGAACATCCAGGTTTTTTTAGTTTAAACGTGTTCAAAGAGCATGTGAAACCTAGACTTTTGCAACTGTTCAGTGTCAGAGACAGTCAGATAAGAATGTTGTTATTGATGCATTTTTCAAAGTATATTCATGTCTTCACACACGAGGAGCTCTCGCAACATATACTACCCGAAGTGAGTATAATACTGAAATTATACTTTTTCATCTGCAATCTTAAAAGAAGCGCGTGCTCCGTCGCGAATATATAATACGCGACAAATCACGTCTAGTGATATTGTTTGCCTTATGTGAAAATCGAACCCACGACCCACGGCCCAACGGTCAGAGGCTGAGAGCTAACAACTGCGCCACTAAGTCAATAACTTATGGTCGCCTAACATATTGGGCCAGTAAAAACTGTGCACGGCTGTGATGACATTTTCGTAAAACATATTAGCAAACAAACCTTACTGTGTTAAGAGTATATCGAGAAAGTAACTTTTCAAAATAATAACTGATCTTCGAACTAAAAATGTGTCGGTCTTGATTGCAAACTATCAACTCTCGACATTAGAGATTCAAAGTCGTATATCGGATTGCAGTAGTAATTTGTTCCTGATTGATCCTACTTTCGCTACTAGTTCTAGTAGGCTGCTAGAGCTGTGGTAACCGTGTGTGGTTACCGTGCTCATCGAATACGTTACGAAATACTTAGACGTTTAGGTACGTAGTACGTAGTTTTTTGCCGGGACTTATCCATTGTGTTGAGCACATGACGTGGCGCGAATGACAAAACCTTCACGACTATGTATAAACTGGCCTGTGTTTATTTTGTAATTAATACAAGACCACGCGCTTACTAAACTGTTAATAAACAAACTACAAAAACAAACGAATGGGCATTTAGATTTTAGATTCAGAATCCCAACTGCACTAGAAGCAAGCAAAAACCACAAACGCCAAATCTTTGGGTTCCAAGTAGTCGTAATCGAATCGAAAATCCAATTGTTGTAAAATTTACCTGTGGGTTTCGGTGGTTTATTCGCGAACCATGCGATGAAATTATTTTCTCATGCATTTTTATTGCATTTTTAATACATATTTAATGTAAGTAAACAGGATATAATAAATAATAAACTCACAGCCTCAAGAACAAACAGCGTGTTAACTTAATCTTAAAAAAATAGTAATTTCATAATAAATATACTAATTTATAAATGCTACTTCATCTTTATTCAACGAAAAATAAGTTCATATTTTAGCTAGACACTAAATATTTAATTTGAAATGTACAACAGTTTTTATTTATTTATTGTTTATGTAAGTGGACGAGCTCATGGTCCCCCTGACGTTATGTGGTTGCCGGAGCCCACAGACATCTACAACGTAAATGCCGCCACCTACCTTGAGATATTAGTTCTAAGGTCTCAGTTTTCACGGTAAAACGGCTGCCCCACCCTCCAAACCGTAACTCAGACACCCCACCACTAGTATTGTTAATTTCAATGATTTAACTTGTATGTTTCAGTTACTGTTGGGTATAAAAGACACAGATGATAACTTAGTAGCGTCGACATTAATATGCCTAAGTGTCTTAGTACCTATACTCGGAGCTGCAGCCGTTGTAGGCGGAAAGAGATCAAAATATTTTACTGACGGAAGACCAAACTGTAAAAACAACTTGATAAAATCAACAAGCATCAACAAGCAAGATAAAAAAGTGTATCTCTTAGAAAAATCATTAAGGGAATTACCCTGTTCAGAGGATGTTTATGAAAATGACAATACCGGTCTGACCACTTTTACGAATATAAACTTAAATGAAAGACCTACACCAGTCGGCGGTGAATCTTTGGAGGAAGAAGTAATATTAAGAGAATCTACAATTAATCAAGTTAACAGCGAAGAGGATTGGAGTGATTGGGATAACACTAACCGTCAGCTCACTATGGCAGAAACAGAAAGCATCTCGATTGAAGCAGATACCATTTATTTGAATACCGAAAAAAAAGAAGTACCCGTAATCGAAACGAACGTCGCAGCAGAAGATTCGGCATTAAAAAAATCATTGCTTCAAAAAGCAGCCATTGATGCCAAAAGAAACATTGTAGACATATCAGAGTTGGATATTAAACATCAAAAAACAAGTAATACAAAAAAAGGTGCTGACGAATTTGACTTTTTCGCTGACATGAAGCCTGTTATCGAGAAGGCCGCTGTTGTCAGTATCGATGATTTGGTTTCGAAAGAATTTAGCAGCAAGTTAACGTTCGTACCCGATGAAAACCAAGACGAGAACGAAGGTTGGGGTGAAAACTGGAATGATTAAGAGAATAAAAGAAATGATCATTAATACAATAATTATAATCTGTACTTTACAAAACCTTAAGAATTAAACAACTGTAAAATTTCATTTATGTAGACTTGATTTTTTTTATACCCAGTTGTGATGTCGTTTATTCAATGCCTCGTACAATTGATAAAGTCATAAAATTGTAAAAATGAAATGAAAACCTTTACTTATCTATTTAAAAACTGTAAATACGCATTATGTAGTTTATTTATGCCCTAAATATTGTTAACGTTGTCTTAAATAGATGATATTATTTAATAAATAAAATCTTATCTTCAAAATTTCATTTGTGATTCCTAGTATTTTAAATTGTAAGCTTTAAAAAAAATAGGCAATATGGATTCTCCATTAATCAAATTTTATAATTTTTGTGTTAGAAAATTAAAGATATTGTTGTATTGGTATAAATATAAAAAGTTTTAAGCTTTCAGTGTAGTTACAAATTTTTTTTTTATTGCTTAGATGGATGGACGACCTCACAGCCCACCTGGTGTTAAGTGGTATACTGGAGCCCATAGACATCTACAATGTAAATGCGCCACCCACTTTGAGATATAAATTCTAAGGTCTCAGTATAGTTACAACGGCTACCCCACCCTTCAAACCGAAACGCATTACTGCTTCACGGCAGAAATAGGCGGGGTGGTGGTACCTACCCGTGCGGACACTCAGAGGTCATACCACCAGTAATTACGCGAATTATTATTTTGCAGATTTGATTTTTATTACACGATGTTATTTCTTCACCGTGGAAGTCAATCAGGAATATTTGGTAAGTACGTATTTTACTACAAAAATTTGTACCCGTCTGCGGGATTAGAACACCGTTGCATCGTTAGATACGAATGCACCGGACGTCTTATCTATTAGGCCACGACGACTTCTAAACGACATTTAGATGACTCCGCCGACCCGGCGATTTTGGTATGATCTACTCTGCTGTAGTGTCGGTCGTGGAACTCCCTATATTGCCCGGGATCTCTCTCGCGCGACCTTTGTGTCATTAGAGCCTTTTAGAGAGGAAGACTTCGAGCTCGGTGGGTGGTGCTGGTAGGAACCCAGGCATAAACAATGTAAATGTCACCAACCACATGAGTTCCAAGTCTCAGTTCTATAGTACAACGACTGCCCCTTAAAACCGAAAGGCATTAAATGCAAAAAATTAGGGGATTCTTACTCGCGTGAGCTTGCAAGACACCACCCTACTACCAGTAATCACGTAAATTAAATCTGTGAATTTGGTTTTTATCACGATGCTATCCTTAACCATCGTAAAGTTATTCGTAAACATGTATTATGTAGGTACCTACGTATTTCATTAGAAGAACTGGTGCGGTATTGATGCCGGACTAGGTGTTCGATACGTGTATACCCCTTAACTTATCCCTAACGTAACACACAGATACAGTAAGCATTGCTTAGACCTACTCAACAGACAAAATCGAGGACTAACCATTCCTGGAACAAATAGATTCCTGAAATGAGACTGCGAACCGGTAAACATTGCCGGGACAGGTAGATTATGAAGAAAAGATTTTCAGGTTCATTGGTGACAAATGCTACACTGACAATTTTTAACACGCCTTTAGCAATGCTTTAGCCTGTGTACTGCCCATGGAGTTACTATGTACCTACAAAATACTAACTCTATGGTACTGCCTGTGTATATTTTTGCATGTAATGAAATCTTTGATGTTCGTGATATTCACCTATTAAATTTAGCACACTTATCAAGGACCCCTGATGCAATAGTTAATTGTGCTCTAAAAAAGGGTAAGAATAACATAAATAATTCAAAACTATTGAATTTTTTTAAATTACTTTCAGTTAATTTCAGTTAAACCGAAGGCCGGTGTAGAACGAACTCGCCATATATAAAAATATCTACTAACCTTTATTTCGGTTATTTAGATTAGCGTGTTTTTTTTTTGTTTTTTCGAACTATTATTTATATTTTACTTCTTGACAACTAAAGAAAATTTTTAATGATAATAAGTCATAGACTAATATGTATTTATTAATTAACATGATCAAATTAAGAAATGTCAAGAAGTTTTATAGAAATACGATTTGACAGTGAGAAATAAAACAGTATTAATAATTCTTATTTTTTATTGTTCAACAAAATATTAATTGTATTCAATGTAGATTATTATTGCTAAACGTAGTGAATAAATTCTCTTGGTAGCCAGGCTTATACAACAATTAGACAATATCTGTCAGATATTTTTGTCCGTCTACTCTTTTTACTGCAAGAAAAAAAATGATACCCATCATTGACAGTATGATAAACAACGTAAGTATAGAACTTATGTGTCAAAGCTTATTTAGAAATGAACATAGCACGATAATGGTTTTTGATTGCCGTCTATCATATTAGACATCTTGTGAGCCTTTAGCATTGTGGTCCTCGCGGACACTGATTGGGAGCATGAAATAATATTACATGCTGATGCTTGGAGACAGACTCGGTTTGCCGAGGTGTTGGTCATAGGTTTAAGATGTAGGTAATGATTGTTCGAATATTCGTGCACCTGTTCGGGAAGAAATCAAGGTGACACAGCACAAAAACACAGTTTGTTATTTACTCAGTTTTTCATTATTTCTTTCACGAAAAATTAACATAAGCTAATAATATTCGTCCTTATTCGTGTTCTTTTCTCCAGTATTTCAACTTTGCAAACAAGAAATAAAAGCCACCTCATGTTTTGTCTGTGGTAACGAAGAGTTCGGTGCCTAGATTCGTTTAATATCTTATGTTTTAACAGCGACTGGCATGACGAGTGAGCAAGTGGCAACGTTGCACCTAAACAGCAATTTTGATTTGCATGACGAGATCTTTGGAAGCTTCATGAAACACATCTAACATTTGTTGACGAGCCATTTCCGATAATGCGTCCAAGTCGTTACGAGTCATTCCTTTCGTAGATATGGGTGGCAATGTTGTGATTACGACTTTTCCTGTGAAATCAATTGTTTTTTTTTATTATTAAATAAAGCTGATGTTTAATTATAACAAAAAACATAACAACAGTAATGAAAAAAGTTTTGATTGAACATGTAAAATAACGTTAAACGTATTCTTTGTTGTTTTAATTACCTGGCTCAAATGTTTTGGTTTCGCTATCCAAAAAATAATATTGACTGAAAACCACGGGCATTATTGGAATTTGAGCATCAATAGCTAAATAAAATGCTCCCTTTTTGAAGCTCTGTATACTGCCTTTGTTATATCGGGCTCCTTCTGGAAATATCCACAATTTTGTCTGTAAAGAAATAAAAGAATCATCATTCATTATCCTGCCCTTCTCCCAGTTACCTGGGGTCGGCGCAACATGTTTTCTCCTTCCATACTCTTCTATCATATACCATTTCTTCGCTCACTCCCCTCTTACCCATATCTTCTTTCACGCAATCCATCCATTTCTTCTTAGGTCTACCTCTTCCTCTATATCCTTCCACATTCATAGTTAACATTTTCTTACCAACCTCATTTTCATTTCGTCTCATCACAAGTCCATACCATCCCAAATGCGCACTTCTCTGTCACAGGTGCTACTTTCAGACTTCCTCTAACATATTCATTCCGTATTCTATCCATTCTCGTTACTCCACACATCCATCGCAACATTCGCATCTCTGCTGCATGCAATCGCGTTTCATCCGCCACTTTAGTGTTCCAACAAGCTGATCCATACAAGACGGCAGGCCTTATTAAGGTCTTATATATCTTTCCTTTTAAGGGAAGAGGAATGTGTGAGTCACATGTGGTGCCCGTAACCTGCCGCCATTTCATCCATCCTGCGTCAATTCTGCGCCTCACAGTACGATCCAGTTCACCGTCGCTTTGGATAACAGACCCTAGGTATCGGAAATCTTGACATACTGGCAAAGGTGCTCCGTCGAGAGCAATGGGTGTAAAATTGGAAAGACGCCAAAATCACAGAACAGATGTTCGGTTCTCGATCTGCTGATTTTTAGGCCAACACTCTCCAACTTGCATCGCCATTTCTCCAGTATGTTTTGGACCTCGAGCCTGTTTTCTCCGACGAGCACTATGTCATCGGCAAACACCAAGGGGGCTCTTCTCGGATCTCCGATGTCAAGGCATCCATCACCAAAAGATAGGGACTTAACGCAGACCCTTGGTGTAAGCCCATTGCCACATTTTTTTTTATTGCTTAGATGGGTGAACGAGCTCACAGCCCACCTGGTGTTAAGTGGTTACTGGAACCCATAGACATCTTCAACGTAAATGCGCCACCCACCATGAGATATAAGTTCCAAGGTCTCAACCACAGTTACAACGGCTGCCCCACCCTTCAAACCGAAACGCATTAATGCTTCAGGACAGAAATAGGCAGGGTGGTGGTACCCGCGCGGAATCACAAGAGGTCCTACCACCAGTAAAAATAGTTAGGACACTGACATCTTCAGAGGAAAGGAGGAAGCTTAGTGCCACTTCCAGGTTCTATAAGAAATCAAATATCAGAGCTAGGTTCGAACTTTTGCCAGAATAAGCAGGGACTGAAGAACCCTCTAGTAATTACAGGTCTACAATTACAGTAACATTCTTAACTTTCATATACAGTATCTTTCATTCATCATCATTCATATTTCTACACGTAACTTTCATCATCTTCATGGCTTTTCAAAGTAAAGGTGAGAGCTATTATCTTCTAGATTCTTCCAGGGATATCTTGAAGGTCCCGGTCTCCCTCTACCCTTGTTATCTTAAATGTAAATAGTCATGATGGACACTTGTATTAATCGTTTGAACGGCTTACCAAACAACAATTATGATTAATTTTAAAGAATGTCTGCACCTATTTATTTCATTTCATTTGCCGTGAAGCGAATATGATTTAACTTTGCTTAGTAAAAAGTATCCAATTGCAATTCCAACCTTCTGTTTAATGACTCTTTCTGTAGCTTCTTTCATCAATTTTCGGGCTCTATCGGTTTTAAGTCGATCAATAAACACAAGTCCAGATAGCCATGCACCAAAACCAAATGCACCAGTGAACATTAATGGTCGCTTTGCTACCACAGTACATCTTTTCATTACTGGCCACATCTCAAACATACCTGAAATGATATAAATACAGACGAGTGACTCAAGCAAAACAATTTGGTATCACAAAATATAATACATTTTTTTAATAGAAAATTTGAACTTTTTTTTTTCTTCAACTACTAATTTATTTGATGTGAACTGCTAGGATTTTAACAGAATAAAAAAATACCCATGTTTACACATAAATTGATTTTCTGCACTAATTTATAATTAAATAGTTTCTTAAATAATTGTTTATTGATTATTTTAGCAAAATTCGTAAATTATATTTTCAGGACATTGCAACGCCGCGTACAGACGCGTACACTGATCATTTTTTTGGTATGGAAAAAATCTACATTAATTAACCCTGTGGCCTGCTGCTTGACTAAGACACGTGGGCGAGCTCAAGGGCTCAGTCAGGAGAAGAGGGTTTGCTAACAACTGCCTAAGCACCTTCAACGGAGGCCTAATTTCTTAAGTTTCGATGCATTCACCACTGGTTTAGAATCGCGACTTGCTGACATGACTACAAAACTATGGACTAAGGGCCGTATCGAATTCTTCGGCGAATTGGATGGGTATAGAAGCAGAGATAGAGAATAGCTGTGTCAATAGCGAAGAGCGATAGCTGGGTCGTTAACTACCGGGAAATGTCATTTACTAAAAGTAGCGGAGACAGGGAAGCCTTGCAGACCTGATTTCGAAACGAATGGTTCGGCAAGCATATGTTGTATAGTTAAACGCCTTCACAATTTCGAAAAAACGGGGACTTTCGTGTAACCCCTTTAGGGCCAATCGGGTCTTTTGAGAAATTGAGTAAATCAAAATTCCTCGTCAATAAGGTTGGTCTGGGAAGAGACGAAGTCTGAGATCCGCTTGCAGAACAGACGCTCGTACGATTTGCGTAGAGACATGAAGAACCCAATCGGATGACATACTGAACGGCATGAGTAAAAGTCTCGCTTATCAAGCTTCACTTACAAAAGTGTCTTACAAAATAAAGTTTTTATTAATAGTAAAAACATCCAAAATGGCGTTAATTGCCGGTAAAGTAAAATCTGAGGTTGGCTATTTGTTTCATAACTTATATTATACAAAGATACAATGAAATAAAATCATCTTAGAAAATGCATTAGAGACTATGCTAACTTTTACTAGGTACCTACCTACCCATGTTGACATCTAAATTGAGTGCTGTTTGCATGTAATTTGGACATAGATTATGTGGGGTAGAAGGTCACTACCTTGCTACCTCAACCTGCAAAACGTGGATCTAGCTATCCAGTGTCAGGTCCCTGCTAATCAATATAACTTACAAACTTTTGTATTCATCAAGCATAAAATATGTCATCTGGGGAAAAATACCCATAATTAAATTTATTACTAAAAATAAGTATACTTGTACCTAATATATCTAGAGAGCTTTGATGATTTGAAATTACTATGTAACATTCGTCATTATTCCAATGCTCCATTCCGCGTAGCTCCCATTCAATTCCAACTATATGTGATGCATATCGACAAAATCTGGATGCAACACTGCAACACAGCAAAGATGTAAGTAAAAGTATCATTTAAGAAAATAATGAATTTTAAATCGATATTTACTTATGAAAATAATCAATTGCGTACATTAAATTTGTAACATCGCGTGGATATACAAGTACCACTGGTAACAAAACTGTACATGTTATTAAAACATACGCATAATACAGAAAAAACTTCAAGTAATATCGAAACACATTACTTTTTTCGTATAAAAATGGCAAAATAAATATGAAACCCGCCAAAAATAATTCAGGATATGAATAGGAGGAAGCCATAACTACAAAATTAAATCGATAATACCAGAGACCAAGTCAGCGATTAAACAATCCGTAGGACTTATCGGGAAACACTTGTCTACGGCCAATCTAAATGAAACTTTAAGCGAAGGAAGCTTATCATCGAATGCAGTGCATTATTTTTAATTTAACAAATTATAAACACTATTTAACGAGTTATAATCCCGATTTTCACTTTTATTGTGGTTCTGATATTTTGTCGTCGTTGCAAACTCCATGATCACGAATAAAGGAGATGTTAAAAACAGACAAAAGATTTGTCAGATCTATTCTCCTTACTTACTTACGTTACTAAACGTTTTACAAGTGTCGATGGGTCGCAAATATCCTCAAGATTCGACACCATAGTAATTAAGTATGAGATAATGTTTTGGTGTTGAATTCTTATTTACAAAACCATTCATAGAATGTATTGAAGTTATCAAAGATAAACTGATGAAGAAGATCCACTCGCTCTGACAGATACTTACACACAACACATCATCATCCAGTGTGCTTAGTGCGAGTTTTTTAACGTTCTCGATAGCGTAAAAGTTAGCTCATATTTGTATGGAATGGGACCGTTTGCCTACGTTTGCCGTCAGGGGCGCTGTTCCAAAAATAGCACCCATTTTGAAGGCACACACATAAACATATATCTATCTCGTTCTTACTCAGCACTTTAACTCGCAGGAAAACAATATAACAGTATTTCAGTGCGTACATAAAATGAAACATGAATATACGTAAATGTCTCCGTCTCCGTCTAATGAGGCCAAAAATCCGCCATGCTTAGCGCACCAAATGTCATTGTCACGTCAGTTCGGCCGTCTGTTTTGGGCATAGACCTTTAAAGTAGGGACACGACATATTGTTCTATACGTACAATTGCTTATATAAATAGCACCCATTTTGAAGGCACACACATAAACATATATCTATCTCGTTCTTACTCAGCACTTTAACTCGCAGGAAAACAATATAACAGTATTTCAGTGCGTACATAAAATGAAACATGAATATACGTAAATATCTCCGTCTCCGTCTAATGAGGCCGAAAATCCGCCATGTTTAGCGCGCCAAATGTCATTGTCACGTCAGTTCGGCCGTCTGTTTTGGGTTGTACATTATTTATTGACTTTGATATCGATTTAATATGATTGATTATATAAAATTTCATAATTTATCATGCTTAAAACATACAAAAATAATAATTAAAACGTATTTTATAGGATCTCAAGAAAGTCGATGTCCTAAAACTATTATCTATATGTATTTAAATTCATTATGGAGCCCTCATCCGAAAAATCCATTTTTCGGTCGGAATCTATTGATCATGACACTAATCATAAATACCACTTTAAAATATGTCATCAAAACATATTTAGACATTCTGTTTAGATATTTCGGGAAAAAGGCTACCGACAAAATCTCTTCGGAACTATTTAAATAAAATAGTTTTATTCCGCAGTGAGTAAAACACTATTGTAAATTTGTTAAATATTTAATAATTAAGTGATTTTAGAGAGGAAGTCACAAGGAATGACGTTTGTAATTAATGAATAAATGTTCTGTAGGTGTTTTTTTTTTCACGCGGTCCCTTGATAAGTTTAAAATTTGAATCACTCTCAAGCGAAAGTGATTCAAATGGTGCGGCGCACCTTCCTTGGGGTGCGCTGCGGTAGTATGTTACGGACTTTAGAGTCAGCAAAACAATTAAAATAGATTGTAATAGTCTAAGAAAAACACGTACTCAAAATACGATAACATTTAGCATGCTAGAAATGGGCTGATGGCTTTGAACTACGCCATATCTTTATGTTTTGCGACAAACGACAACTTTATAAAATCAGTGTAGCAACTTTTAAAAATCATCATATCGTTTACTTGGCAAATTCGAAGGACGAACTTGTCTTAGATTTCACCCATCTAAATCATATCATATTTGCACATAACAATATACCTACTTACTTCCCATTAAAGTATAAATTCTACAAATAAATAATACTCAACAATATTTAAAATAAAATGAGCCAAGAACGTTTATCGATAAAACCTGATAACATTGAAATCTTTTGTACAGCACTAAAGCCGCCATGTTTTGTGGCCAGATGACGTCACACTGGCACGAAATTTTGGTTGACGTTTCATTTCCATAGGTTTCCTACTTCATTGGTTTTGGGTTGTACATTATTTATTGACTTTGATATCGATTTAATATGATTCCTTATATAAAATTTCTTATTTTATCATGCTTAAAACAGACAAAAATAATAATTAAAACATATTTTATAGGATCTCAAGAAAGTCGATGCCCCAAAACTATTATCTATATATATTTAAATTCATTATGGAGCCCTCATCCGAAAAATCGGACACCATTTTACGATCGGAATCTATTGATCATGACACTAATCATAAATACCTCTTTAAAATAAGTCATCAAAACATATTTAGACATTCTGTTTAGATATTTCGGGAAAAAGGCTACCGACAAAATCTCTTCGGAACTATTTAAATAAAATAGTTTTATTCCGCAGTGAGTAAAACACTATTGTAAATTCGTTAAATATTTAATAATTAAGTGATTTTAGAAAGGAAGTCACAAGGAATGACGTTTGTAATTTTATTAACGAATAAATGTTCTGTAGGTGTTTTTTTTATCAGGCGGTCCCTTGATAAGTTTAAAATTTGAATCACTCTCATTTGAATCACTCTCAAGTGAGAGGGATTCAAATGGTACGGCACACCTTCCTTGAGGTGCGCTGCGGTTGTGTCTTACGGACTTTAGGTCAGCAAAACAATTAAAATAGATTGTAATAGTCTAAGAAAAACACGTACTCAAAATACGATAACATTCAGCATGCTAGAAATGGGCAGATGGCACTGTACTACGCCATATCTTTATATTTTGCGGCAAACGACAACTTTATATAATCAGTGTAGCAAATTTTAAAAATCGGCATATCGTTTAGGTACTTGGCAAAGAAGCACGAACTCGTCTTAGATTTCACATAATATCTAAATCACATCATCTTTGCACATAACAATATACTTACTTCCTATTAAAGTATAAATTCTACAAATACATTTATACTCAACAATATTTAAAATAAAACGAGCTAAGAACGTTTATCGATAAAACCTGCTAACATTAAAATCTTCTGGGCAGCACTAAAACCGCCATGTTTTGTGGCCAGATGACGTCACAGTGGCACGAATTTTTTGTTGACGTTTCATTTACATAGGTTTCCTACTTCAGTGGAATAAACTTGTTTACAATGCCGTCATAATTTTTCTACTACCTACGGGTACTCGTGAATGATATTTTTCGTTTTCTGTCATAATCTCATATATAATACACTCAATATTTTATGTAGGTAACAGTACCTATGTGAAAAACTGGCCCACACTATCACTACATACCTACATACATAGTAACTAATCTATTATATAATAATCTGTACTCAGTATTTTGTAATATTTAACGGGGACTTTTTGGCGGGAACGCGAGGAGTGAAGTTGTGTGATTTGTTTTATTTTGTCTATTTAGTGTTTCTTCAGGTTTAAATGTGTAATAATGGTGGTTTATTAACCGTTTAATATCTGTGAAAGTGCACAAATGTGGGAAAATGAAACAAAGCTGCTGGACGTAACTTCTCGGGTTCCTCCAAAAAGTCCACTGAAAAAATCTCAGTAAATGACCACCATTTTACTGCGATTATATTTCATCCCATATCATCTCATTTCATTAAATTTCATCCCAGTTGATTAATGTCTCAAATTAATCATCTTCATTTCATTTCACTCCATATTATCATTTTTCATAAAATTAAGAATTTAAAGTAAAATAAGACATGACTTAAAGGTCTTAGTTACCAGGTCATAAAATCTCTTAAAAAAAAAAAAAATTCTGTGACCGGACTTTTTGGCGGGAACGCGAGGAGTGAAGTTGTGTGATTTGTTTTATTTTGTCTATTTAGTGTTTCTTCAGGTTTAAATGTGTAATAATGGTGGTTTATTAACCGTTTAATATCTGTGAAAGTGCACAAATGTGGGAAAATGAAACAAAGCTGCTGGACGTAACTTCTCGGGTTCCTCCAAAAAGTCCACTGAAAAAATCTCAGTAAATGACCACCATTTTACTGCGATTATATTTCATCCCATATAATTTCATTTCATTAAATTTCATCCCAGTTGATTAATGTCTCAAATTAATCATTTTCATTTCATTTCACTCCATATTATCATTTTTCATAAAATTAAGAATTTAAAGTAAAATAAGACATGACTTAAAGGTCTTAGTTACCAGGTCATAAAATCTCTTAAAAAAAATATTTAACGGTTATCTAACAATATTATATTATTAATTAAAATTAATCATGGTTTCTACTCCAGTGAAGTTTAAAATGGAATCAGGAATACAGTTGCTGTCACGATTAAGAAAGAATAAAGAAATTCGAAATTATTACCCAACGTTATTTGAATCTGGTATTAAAAATGAAGATTTAATTGAAATGTCTAGCGATGGAAAACGAGCTTCATTTTTAATAATTGACATTATTTGTGAAGCTTTAGTTCCAAGTGAGCTCGACGGCCCTGAAATAGGAGTGGTACTATTGGCAACCGATGGATCTATTAGTCATGAAAAAATATTAAAAGTTTTGACGCAAAAGTTACTATTAAAAATTTCTCAGTATAATAGCAATGGAAACTTAGATACAACTCTGTTAGATACCTTATTACTTAAAAGTTTAAAGAACTTTCATTTGTTGGAAGTTTATGATGCAACTCAATTTTATTGTACTCTTTACAACTTTGAAAATGTGGTTTCGGCATACCCAAACATAAGTTTAATACTTATTGAAAATTTAGTAGCATTTTATTGGTCAGAGCAAGGTTTTAAAATAATAAAAATGGATCTTTATCAAAAAAAAATACTGAAAATAGTTCAAACTATAATTAAAGAATACAAAATTCCTGTTCTATACTATAAACCGCAATATTTTCATTCAAGCAAAGAATCTGAAGACACAAAGATACAAACAATTAACTATAAAATTGAAGTTTCAAGTAATTTGAACGATACTGACATTTTTAATGTTTCCATATTCACTGGATCTGAGCAAGAAATTAAATATTTCAAAATAATAAATGACCAATTAACTTGGTTGAGAGGGGATAGTTGAAATAATAAACTCATATTATATAAGCATGGTCAGTAGTGAAGAATTACTTGATCACAGCTATAAATTTTGTCAATTTAATAATAATTTGGTTATCACTATGTAATAATGTTGATAGTTTTATTGGTATTTTTTATGTTATTAAGATATTCTTTAAGAAAATTGTATAGTTAAAAATTTAAAACGATATAATAAGACTATTCAATCTATTGAAAGAAATTCAATCACTTTAATACATTTTCATTAGTCCTCATCTACCTACTGTTTGTGTGGTAGTTTTCCAATAGAACTTTATTTCTTTAAGTAAAAAAAAGGAAAAAAATGCTACTTTATTTATTTAAGCATTTCTTTATGTATAAACAATCATAAAAAGGAGTAAAATGTAACAATTTCAATTATTATATAAAACGCTGGGCACTTTGTTTACAAATAGAGCAATGTTAGTAAAAGTAGTTGTTGAGTTACTTACACAAAAAAAATATTATTACCACTGTAGGCGGATTATCATATGGCCTATCTGAAGACTAGTGGTCACTGTCGCCCATGGATGACAGCAATGCCATACATTTATTTTTAAATATTTGGCACTTAAATGATGATTTGAAATTAATTTATGTTTTTCAATAAAAAATAAAAAATGATACACAATAATTTTTAGTTTCTGGCTACTACTACCTAAGCCCATTTTTCCTGAGACTACTATGTAGATATATTACGCATCTATATTCTGTATACAAGTCAAGGTTTTAGTAAATACAAATATTTAGAATTAATATTATAAACGAAATTTACCATTAAAATTCTGAGAGTAGTATTTTACATGGAGTTATGGCTTTGTCTTGTAAATATTATTTCCTGTAAGGTAGTAAACACTGACAGTGGCTGTAGGTATATACCTATCATCAGCCTAATATTATTATAGTAGACCACATTATGTGTAGATGGAAGGGTATCTTTTTAACTAAATCTGTCACCAGATACTACTGTTTAGCCTATCTCTATTAAAAACAATTCTAGTTGGAGGGCAGAATGGAAAAATGCTTACAGTTGAAAATTCAATCAATCTGACATTGGAATCTTTTGTGACATTTATCAGTTCCAGTAACCTCTTAGATGTAGAGGTCTAAGTTTACAGCCTAACTACTGTAAACAAAATGATAAGAATAGGGATTCATACCTTAATTTACTGCTTATCTATCTACTGCTTATCTGCTATCTTACTGCTTATCGTCTCATACAATCCACATAAAATAATTAAAGATTTATTTAGTTCATATAAAAGTAAATACTAGGTGAGATCAAAGTAAATAGAGATTAAATTTATTAATTGTTAATAATAGATACTGCTACTACTTAAATTAGGAAGTCACATCATTAAATAAATGATATACATAAAGACAACAAGTCCATGACTGAAATAATTAAGGTTTTCCCATTTACTCATTGTGTGTAAATATGAAAACCCTGACTCTTGTACTGAAAATGATGCCTCAAACATGACTCCTAAATATGCTAAATGCATTATCGTTATCAATGTAAAGATGGAATTCACAACCAATGCAAGTAAACTATTTTTCTTATATTTGTGAGTACATTGCTTCAAACATGGATTAGCTAAGCAACATACTTCAAGTGCTAATGCAATTTTGCTTCTCAAGTTATATTCAACATATGAAAATGTTCCAATGCTAAGAAGCACTGCAGACAGCTGGAAATTGAGGCCATGAAGTAATGATGACACTGCATAAGTTATGAGTATTGCTGTAAATTGACCATAGGGCTGAAATGTCTTGAAGACATACATTTTCAACCATTGGTGCATTGGAATGTTCCAATAAACAACAACTTGAACAAGTGATCTGGGTATTTCAATGTAGGAAGGTCTAGTAACTTTAAGCTCACAATGGCAGTCATTAGTAAGCCCAAATCCAGCACTAACCATGGAAAGAACTGACATACTTGATACAAAATAATGGGACATTCTAAATGCTTGTGCGTCTCTATATGCTATCAACCATTTCGGCATATCATCATCAATATACCAAGGTATCAGACAGTTTGATAATACCAAGAATGAGATTGACAAGATTAAGTTTATCAAAATAATACTGAACCATCTCTTGCACAAGAATCTGACTTCCAAACTCTTGTTGTAGCTTTGAAAGGACATCCAAGGGCCAAGAATGCAATTTGCAGGGCAAAAAATATAACCTCCATATTCAACTGGGTTGAGGATGTTATTGTATATATTTCTATCCAGTTCTATTGCAACAGAAATAATCTTCATTGCAGCAATCATCTGAATACCTCTGATCTGTTGCCACATTTTTGGATTCAAAACATATATTTCGCATAATAGAAGAAATGTGATTATTGTAAATGACACAAACAGTGACCTCCTTTTACTTTTAGTCCACGATAGCACTGTGATCATTGTATAAGATCCAGTAGTTAGCCCTATTGTCCAAAAAATTGCTGACCCAATGTTGTTGTACAGTAAGTAAACTCCCGTAATAAGAGATAAACTGTGTCTGACATTATGAGGTAATGGTAAAAACTGAATGGTAAAACGAAGTAACAAATTAGAAAATAAAATATCTTTAGCAAATTTTAGTCCTTCGTACACAGTTGGTTCTGTACACATAGATAGGTACGTCCAAGTATTTTCGGCGTAAACATCTTCTGCATCCATCTTGTCAAATTTTTTCAGAACACAAAGTTTTCCAGTATTTTTGAATTTTCTTTAAGTTTTCATGAAACATTTCATGTAGTGAAGAACGGTACCGGCATAACATATGTCTTAGGTTATTAATTGCATAGTTTCATTTCCATATAAAATGTCATCACACAAAGATTGAAAATTAATAAATAGTACTGATACGTAGTGGCTTAGTTCTTTTAAGTCGGATCACTTAATGTCCTTAGTGAGTTAGTGAGGGATAAATCGGATTTTATTCCAATACCGGTAAAATGGGGCGATTAGGGATTGAGAGGCGAATCGGGAAAAAATCGGGAAAATCTTTCGACGCTCAATATAAGTTTTATATTCGTTGCATAATCTTCCATTTTTTGTAGTTTAATAGTAGAATGTTGAAAGTTCACAAAACAACTCTGAATATGCATGATAATAGCTGCTAACTTATAAAAAATCGCGTTTCAAATTAACTTCCTGTGGTGGTAATTATTTTAGTGCTAGAAACTTTGCTCTCTTTTATTTATTTGATAATAATAGAAGACGACTATGATTTATAAACGTTATTTAGTGTTTGAACCAGCATATATATTAAAGGTAAGTCTCAGTTGTTATTGGTTTTAATGTATTTGATTAAATAAAAATACATGTAAAAATCTGTTGTTTTTGGGGATATTGGGGACGTCTTAGGTACAAATAACAACGAAAAAGGGGTCAATTGGGATGAGAATACGTGAAATGGAAACGACCTAAGTATAAATAGGTACAGGTTTGTAGGGTTGTCTATGTAGTTATAACAATATTTTTTAAATTTGTTGGTAAAAATCTGGTTTATTCGAAGCGAAATTGGGAATAAGTCTTTAGTTGAAATAGATAAGCAATTTAATATAAGTAAGTCGATTTTGCAGAGACATGTAACAAGATCAATGAAATCTCAAGGTGGACAAAAATGTCTAAGTAATACATAATAAAATATTTAATATTTGTTCAGAGTGGGGGTATTCATCTGATTAATCCATGGAATAACCGACACACCTAATCTCTTAACCCAGATAGAAATATCAGCACTGTCGATTGCACCTATAATTGAGGTGATGTCTGCCATGTACTTTTGTCAGTTTTTCAATTTTTTTTATTGATGATCACTTTGTTGGTGCAACTAAATAAATAAATAAATTAAAACTATATATAAAAATAAAAGTAGTGCCAACCCTAGCAAATTTCTCATTTCGTCCCAATTAACCGCAATTTTCGGGTAAATAGGGATTACACCTATTTTTGCATTTTTTGCTTAAACTGGAATGCTAGTTGCATAATTTTAAATTAGACAACAAAGATGCCCCCAAGACTCAATCATTTTGATCCTGATATAGCATTATATACATCAACAACTACCATAAAATTGCTCATAAAGTTGGAATTTGTCCCTAATCGCCCCATTTTACGGTAATCAGTGGGGTGAAACCACTGAAGTAGGAAACCCAGGTGAAACATTCATAAAAAAACGAAATTTTTTAACAAGAGACATCTGACTTTAAAGATGCTGTCAATTTTGAAACATTGTGGCCCTAATGAGTAGGTACCGTTTAAACGGGGTGATTAGGGACAAAATCCAACTTGATGAACAATTTTAAGGTATTTGTTACTCTTAACAAATGATTGAACAATTGAACACTCTGAACAAATATTAATATATTTTATTATGTATCACTTGGATATTTTGTTCACCTTGAGGTTTCATTGTTCTTGTTACATGACTGTGCAATACCGACTTACTTATGTTAAATTGCTTAGCTATTTCAACTAAAGACTTATTCGGAATTTCATAGGCTTCTATTGCTGTTTTTAATATTAAGGGATCATATCTCTCATAAGGCTTTGCACTCTTTGGTATGTACACGCGAGGCATATCTAAAAATAGAAAACAATACGTAACTGATAATATAAATATTTGCCAAATAATAAAAAAACCTGTACCTATTTAGGTCGCTCCCATTTAACTTATTGTCATCCCAATTGACCTCTTTTTCGATGTTATTTGTACCTGAGACGTCCCAGTTATCCCCAAAAACAACAGATTTTTACATGTATTTTTATATTATCAAAAAACATTAAAACCAATAACAACTGAGACTAACTTTTAATATATATGATGGTCAAACACTAAATAATGTTTATAAATCACAGTTGTCTTTTATTATTATCAAATAAATTAAAAAGAGCAAAGTTTCTAGCACTAAAATAATTACCACCACAAGAAGTTAATTTGAAATGCGATTTTTTATAAGTTAGCAGCTATTATCATGCACACGGAATACTTATTTATCTATTCCGTGATCATGCATATTCAGAGTCGTTTTGTGAACTTTCAACATTCTACTATTACACTACAAAATGTGGAAGATTTTGCAAAGATTAAAATACTAACATTGAGCGTTGAAAGATTTTCCTAATATTTTTCCCATTCACCTCTTAATCCCTAATTACCCCGTTTTACGGTACCTATGTAATAAGCTCACTAGATGGCAGAAATTAGTTTCGATTCCTTAAAAAATAGTAGTGATGGTAGAAGTTGAAACTATTTTGGAAACAAAAAACCATTTGTTACAATTATAAACCGTAATTGCTAAGAATATTTCCTATTATAAAAATCGTATCTAGAATTACTCCAAATGCTAGAATTTCCTTTAGAAAAATAAACAGTTTCAAAGAACCCACACAAGGATCCACTAACATTGTCATTAGACGCCTGGAGCTCTAGCATTAGAAGCAGGCGTGGGGGTCCTGGTAACCGTGCTCGTCAATCTCACCAAATAATTCGACGTGAAACATAGCCCATAACATCAGGCCTCGAGCATCGTAGCCACGACGCGCGGCAGCGAGAGGTCCTCTCCTATAACCGCGACGAGGGCGGCGTGTTGCTCGTCTAATCCAGAGCAATGTGGGTTCCGCTGTGTCATCCTCGTCGCGGTCTGCGCAATGGTGGCACTGCGCCGTCGGTTCCCTTCCGGCTATCTTGAAAAGGTACCGGCCAAAACACCCATGGCCGGTCAACATTTGTGTCAGCCGGAAGGTGAGGCATCCGCGGTCGCGGCCCACCCAGTCCGCGAGATCGAGTCCATAGACATCTACAGCGTAAATACGCCACACACCTTGAGATATAAGTTCTAAGATCTCAGTATAGTTACAACGGCTGCCTCACCCTTCAAACCGAAACGCATTACTGCTTCACGGCAGAAATAGGCGGGGCGGTGGTACCTACCCGTGCGGACTCACAAGAGGTCCTACCACCAGTAAATCCAGTTCGAGGCCGAGGTACCGAAGACCGGTCACCCCGACCCCGACGCGGACGCCTCCGATCACGAGGTGGGCACCCACAGGCGGCGCTCGTCCCGGCCCGTGAAATAACAGGGCCTGGGTTTTGTCGAGCGCCACCTCGAGCCCCAACCGTCGGATCTTAGTGACGACGTGACCCGTTAACCTAACCTACCCGTCCGGGCGTATCTTTTTGGAACGAAGTTCCTTATCGCGCGTTGTGAAAGGGGGCTAGACGGAAAAAATTCTTACGAAAAGTTGTCACGACACTTTTTAGATCCGTCATTCTGACCAATCAACGTGTAGGCGCTTATCGCGTGACATTGCTCGTATCCGATTGGTCCGCGTAATGAGTACAGTTTCTCGAGATAGCGTTTCAACAATAGTNGTGTAGGCGCTTATCGCGTGACATTGCTCGTATCCGATTGGTCCGCGTAATGAGTACAGTTTCTCGAGATAGCGTTTCAACAATAGTAATTTAGTTCATAGTATTGTTTTTTTCTTCTTCATAATGCCGTAATTTATTATTATAACTTAAAAAAAAAATTACAATTCCTTCACTAATTAATCGAAAGGAACTTCGTTCCATCCGGGTGCCCCTTGACACCTCTGAAGTTTTTCTTCTTTTTTGCCCTTGTAGGCAGGTGAGCATACGGCCCACCTGATGGCGAGTGGTTACCGTCGCCCATGGACTTCAGCATTGCCAGGGGCAGAGCCAAGCCGCTGCCTACCAAATGCTACCTAGCTGGAATGGCTTTTTCGGCAACCAGCGAATAGAAAGGAAAAAAAAATACTAGAACCGCGATGCCAAAGAGTAGCATCATAAGAGTGACCGGTTGGTGGTGTATCGCGTCCCGACCTGGCAGGGTGGTTCTGACCCAAAACACTGTAACTAGACTCGCGACACCCCCTAAGAACGCCCCGCCAACAGAGCGTTCGACATGAAACGAAGGGTCTGGGATGGCGGGGGCGGCGGACATATTTCTTCTCTTCTTCAACCCGTGTCCACCCAATGATGAGTGTAAGTCTCTTCGAATGGACCCCATTTTCTTCTGTCTCTTGCCTTTCTCATCCAGTCTCTACCAACCATTTTGACCAGGTCATCGGTCCACCTCATTGGCTGTCTGTCCACGTTACGACTTCCAGTACGAGGTCTCCACTCTAGTACTTTTGTGCTCCATCGATTGTCAGTGCGACGGCGTATGTGGCCGGCCCACTTCCATTTTTTCCGAGCAATCACTTCTGCTATATCAGTTAAATCAGTTCTTCTGTGGATTTCGGTATTGCGCATTCTATCCCGTAGAGAATTTACTAACATCGCCCGTTCCATGGCTCCTTGCGTGACTTGCATTTTGGTCGTAACAAAAGTCCCAACAACAAAAAACTGCTAATCCTGATTATCCAAGTAAGGATAACCGGTCTTACTAAAATATTACATGTTATCGGTCCTTGATAAGTATACCGAATTTCGAGCTATTTCGCTGTTTAGAAGGGGGTCAAAATCATGTTCAAAGATTTCGTTTCATACATACATACATACTTACACAGATACAAAGATACGTATGAAATTAATGGAAGCGTGTTAAAAATTATATAAAGATCTTCTTTCTTTCAACAACAGATCTGGTTTCAACTTTCGTCACAAAGATTTGGCTGTTTGGACTAATTTCCTTTCGCTTGTCCAAGGAACGAATCAAAAGTAAAATTTTAATGTTACAAAAAAGACAAATCTTGAGAGGAAAGCTAAATGAGTGTGGTATTTCTAAGAATCCAAGTCGCAATATAAATATGTGCAATTAAATAAATGATTAAAATCGATTTCAACAAAACCCAGTGCCGTTGTACAAATTCAAGTAAGATATGAAAGGAAGAAAAGTGCTGTGTATTTCCGCCCGCCATAGTAGGTCGCTTTAACCACCTCTAATTTAATAGTTACATGTAATATAATC